CACTGGTGTCGGCCTATAATTTATACTTGTTTACGCTATTTTGTTCTTTTACGAAGAAGATTGCCGATGACTTGAGTCAGTAAAGAATTCTACAGAAATGTTTTTTTTTTGACTGGTTAAAGGGTGGGAATACATAAAGCGGATATTTGGCTGGCTTCTTCGTAGAGGAACAAAGGAGTTGTATATTGACTTAGTTCGATTTTGGCTCTTGGCTCCTTTGTTCATTTACGAAGAAGCCAGCCAAATAAGCGCTTTATGTATTCCCACCTTTAGTAATCGACTGACTTCTTGAGAAAATAACAAAGGAGCGTAAAGCCAAAATCGATCTAAGTCAACCTACATCTCCTTTGTTCCTCTACTAAAAAGCCAGTCTAAGTCATAGCCAATCAATAAAGGTGAGAATACAAAAACTCTTTTCTGACTGGCTTAAGTCGCTGGCTAGCTTCTTCGTAGATGAACAAAGAACTTTTAGGTCCTCGACTGGCTTTTCCGTAAAAGAACAAAAGAGCTTTAGATTGACTTAGTTTAATTTCGGCTCATAATCATGGTTCAATAAAAAGATAAGGTTAAGCTACCAGCTGATAACAATTTTTTTCTAAGGGTTCCCGTTCAAACAAAACGATGAAAACAAAATAATATATGAGCACAATGGTCTGTATCGGTTTTATAATTAATTCGTTTGTCATTTGGTAAACTTAACGAATTAATTATAAAACCGATACAGACCATTGTGCTCACATTTACAGAAGCCTAGTTCATAAACACCGACGAAAGAAAACTTAGTTTGATAGTGACATTTAAACTCAATAGACGAGCTTTTTACTTTAAAAATGTATGTTATTTATTGTGTTATATATTGTTAAAATCAGTTTGTAAATTGTGTTGTAAAACATTTGTAAAACAGATCCCTGAAGATGATTTCCGGAGGAAATCGAAATATTGGATGAATAAAAAAGGAAAAATTCAAAAATAAAAACATAGTCTTTTAATGACCTTAAGCCAAGCAATTAACCAAATAAGTAAAATAAATATAACATGTCAACAATATACAACAACAACATTATGTATAATTATTTAATTACAGAGTAGTATTTTTCAAAAAGAAACTGACAGCATTGCAACATTTGCTGAACGCTATCAATATCATGAATTCATCCCGGCGACGTGTGTGAGCACTTTTTAGGCTATTGATATGACGACTCTGGTAAAAAACAAGCACTTTAAGTGCCTAACATTTTTTAGTAAATCATTTCTCGCCTTTGCAAAAATCAGTACCATTTGGGAGGAAAGTTTGTAAAAAAGTGTTAAAATAGTAAAACAACAAATTGCACATGAATTACACATGGGCTACACATGCAACAAGAAATTACACACGATATGTTTAATTACACACGAGGTGGCAACACTGCATCTTACCAACAACAAACAGTCAGTAGCATGGTAGAAGAATATAGGTAGATCCATCGATTAAATTAAATTAAATTTAATTTTTTTTTCAAATTTAAATAATTTTTCATTCAACAATTTCAATTCCAAATTTGGTTTGACAGTTCACTGCCCTAGCAGCTGTGTCGATGCGTCTACCTATATTCTTCTACAATGAATTATTTGTTTGACAACAACTCATTATCAGAGAAATCAGAGATGGAAACCTGTTTATTATTCAGTGAAATTTGACAAGGTAAATTCAAGAAAATGCAGAGAAGGATGTGCTTACTTTAAATGACTACCTTCTTAATTTTACCATCGGTAATACCATGGTAGAAGAATATAGGTAGATACATCAACGCTTGGAAACATTGATATGTTAAAATTTTTAAAATGTTTTATAAAAAATAAGAGGACTTTAAATGTTTTTTCTTATACGCTTTTCATTTTTGCGTGAAACAAAGCCTTGACATAATCTTCAATTTCTCTCCTTTCGGCTTCTTCGCGCTCCCTTCGCACACTTTCAAATTCGGAGTTCAGTATCTGCACTTCATTTGTAGGACACATCATCTATAGTCATTCACACCATCCTTCAATTTTAAATCTCTTTGAAACTTGACGTTCAATATTTGCAACCTATCTTTGATGCCATTATCGCCCTCTACAGCAACCTCCAGGCAATCCCCAAGCTTAATGTACGTTACTCATAACTCCGCCATTTCACACTTTGCTTCCTTTAAAATATCGTATGAAGCCTTAGGCTAGAAATACATAAAGCGCATATTTGGCCGGCTTAAGTCATCGGCTGGCTTCTTCGTAGATGAACAAAGGAGTTTTAGGTTGTCTTAGTTCGATTTTGGCCCTAGGCTCGTTTGTTCATTTCCGAAGAAGCCAGCCGATGACTTAAGCCAGTCAGATAAGCGTTGTATGTATTCCCACCATTAGGCTGGAAATACATAAAGCGCATATTTAGCTGGCTTAAGTCATCGGCTGGCTTCATCGTAGATGAACAAAGGAGGTTTAGGTTGACTTAGTTCGATTTTGGCCCTAGGCTCCTTTGTTCATTTCCGAAGAAGCCAGCCGATGACTTAAGCCAGCCAGAAAAGCGTTTTATGTATTTCCACCCTTAAACTGCTTATTTGGCACCTGTTGTTGCTGAGACATCTTTTGAATATCTTGTGTTGTAGATAGAAGCAACACATTCTTAATTTTTTTAGCATACAACAACTGGAGAATATCGGTAAATGCAAGCAAGTGCATACACGTTACTTTTCCTCTAAGTCGTGAACTTTGCCCCACGATAAAAGTCGTTAATACGCAAGTTCCACAGAAAGATACTTACATGGAAGCAACACATCGATGCAAAAATCACGCAAATTAAACTAAAAAAGACCAATCTTGAGTTGTTAATTGGACTACGTTCTTCTATTAAATTAGAATACAAAGTCATATTATATAAGACTGTAATAAAGCCAACTTGGACTACACAATTTGGCATACAGCTCTGGGGCACAGCTAGTGCCTCTAACGTAAGTATACTACAAAGAAGACAATCGAATATTCTTCGATCTATTACAGGTGCAACATGGTACACAAGGAACGCAAACATCCGCAAGGACCTAAATATACTTACTGTTGAGAAGAAATAAAGAAGCTTTGCCGAAAGTACTTAAACAAACTATCCGAGCACCCAAATAGTTTGGCCCGCCAACTCGTACTATTCGGAGGACACGATAGACTGCGTAGACGTGACACTCTTTCTATCATATAGTTTATTTTTTGTCTTACTCTCTCATTATGTTCAGCTCTTGTCTGGCCAATTGAACGCTTTTTTTATCGCCCATTGTTATACTTCTACAGGTAGTAGTATGCTAAATTGGAAGCTGCCGCGGGATGATTAGATATAACTGTATCTAAACAAAGCAACATTATATCCGTAAGACTATTCCTGTAGTCCGCGATTCACTTAGATATAACTGTATCTAAACTTATCTTAATTACCTACTCAATTAATTCACGGATATAACTGTATCCACTAGCCCACAAAAAAACACACATCTATATAATAAATAAAAAATAAAATTAACAATAATTAACAATTAAAGCATGAAAAAAAAAATATGGGGTGATTGTATTGACAACCTCCCTATAAAAAATGTTAGTATATAAGATATAAAACCTTATTGTTATTTTCATTAAATATATGAAAGATTCAATAAATTAAACAATAAAAAAAACTTATTCCTAACTCAAAGGTCTTACATTTTCTTATCTTATTTAATGCGGACTGTATTAAAAAGATCACTGTTTAACAATTCCCTCTCATCTACACCAGGTACCCCCGCTATTCTCTTTTATTATAGAAACATGTTCACTTATCCGTGAACAGGAACATAGCAAAGGTTAGTGCGAAAACACAGGCTCTCTCCCAAAACCCGCATCTGATCTAAAAGTTTTGCATTATTTCGAAATTTTTACTTTCTTGCAGTTCCGGAAACGAGCATTTGTATCGAATATCACGGCTTTGGGAGATTTAAACGTTAAATTGGATTAAACATCTGGAATATATCAGGTTCTCAAGATACAACAAATGGACATTTGATGTGATTTTTACCGATTCGGGAGTAATAAAGGTGATTCCATATTTTTGTGAGTGAACTTTTTGAAAAACCCCAAAAAAGGTCCCTTATAATCAAAACATTTGGTGTACCAAATAGGGCAATACCTCTGTTTTTTGTCTCAGAAATCTTAGTTTCAGTTCGAATAACCCAGTAGCCGGATATTTCCTCCCCGCGATCAAAGTAATAGTTTAACAACATAAATCTAAAGATCTAAGAGATCTTTTTGAGATTTTTGTGTAAAGAAAAAAAAAACATATTTAATAAAATAGTTATGTTAGTGAAACTGATTTGGCATTGTCATTATACATTTTTAATCCATATAAGTAACTAATTAAATACATCGCCTTTTTAATATGTCAGACCTCTGGCGGATAAACAAAGACATATTTATAATAATCATTTTGAATAAACATTTTTGCCTATATATATTAAAAAAATATATACTAGTGAATTCTTTTTTTTCTTAAGCAGATGCGCTGACTCGCTCGTGCTAAATAGAAGAAAATTTGCACAAATACTGAGATAAGGCAATCTAAGAAGAGTATCAAATTAGCCGGTTGGAATGGATAATGATCCTTTGAAGCCACTAGCTACAAAAACTTCCTAACTGAAATAAAAAACAAATCTAATGTTGAGGCGTTTTTTTTAAATATAAACCAACTTTTAGACAAACGCTGCTTTAACTCAATTTTGAAATTAAAATCAATTTAAAATGTATTCAATATTGCACCGTGCGAATACATTGTTTAATGGCGATGAACCATAAAGTATATTTATTTGAATGGTACGTCCTTCTCTAAATCCGGGACAAAATCATCGCGTTTCATATAAAAGAACTACGTTCAAACATTACACATTTACATTCGAGGTATCTCAAACTCCCATATCAAAAACAATTTTAAACTAGCATAAGAAAAGTACTATACGCTTGCATATAAAAAATGCCATAGATTTACAAATTTTAGAAGACTTTTAATTTATTATAAAAGTATAGTTTCATATAAAACTATATAATGATTACTTCTTTTTGCTGGGATCCTCGTTTTCAGCATTTTCACGAGCTTGCTTGGCGCGGATGCCAACAAGACGAGCATCAGAACGAGCCTAGAATAACAACAATTTCAATACAATGTAACTAATAAAATGGTAAATGAATTACCTTGCGCAAAGTAGCGAAAGCTTTGAATTTCTTTTCATCCTTGGACACTTCGCGGAATTCAACAACGGGTTGTTCCTTCTTAATGGGCATAACTTCACCCTTAAGTTGGGTGGCCAACTTACATTCTTCAAGAGAAGATTCACCCTTGCGGATCTTCTTTTCGTTGATAGGGAATAGAATCAACTTGCTCTTATACTCCTTCAAACGTTGGATATTACGTTGGCGGGATTCAATAGACTTATTCTTGCGTCTACGATCAACAGCAATGCCAACTGTTTTTGCGAATCCAGCTGGAATACCAGCTCCCTATAAAAATAAAAAATGGATATAAATAGATCCAACAAACACCATGAGTTGTTCGAGAATGTACCTTCAATTCTTCCAAAGTAAAACCACGACCAGCGCGCAGTTTAGTGTGGTAACGGATGGTGGGGCAACGGACAACTGGGCGGAGGGGACCAGCAGCTGGGCGTGGGAACACAGCCTTGGCTTTCTTAATGCGATTTTGGCGTCTGCGAATTTTACGTGCAGGCTGGTTGAACCAGGTTTTCACATGTCGCTGCCACCACTTGTGAAAGTGAGCATTTGGAATCATATTATTTCCCTTACCCATCTTTGTTGTTTAGACTGTAAAGATAAATGAATAGTGGTAAAAACCTCAAAATGGGTATATAAACAAGAGAACGCCAGCACTTCAAACCCGATATAACCACAAATAAAAAAAACATGTTGCGGCACTGTGGTAAACCACGTGTGTCGATATTTTAAATCATCTAAAATGTAATTATATCGAGAAATATATTGTTATTTTATCTATTTCACAAACGAGCACTTTAAAAATACACTAAAATAAAACATCATTTCAAAATAACACTCAATATCGTTAACAATTTTTAAAAAATTCACAGCACAGAAAAAATTACGAACCTTTCCTTCCCAACAACGAATCAAAAAGGAAAAAGGGCAGCCAACATAGAAATATCGAAAAATATGTGGTTACTTTCTAAACGCGAGTTCTTTTTGTTCAAATACAACTCTGTTGCGAATAACCAACATGGTACTTGTCGATTAACCACAATCATTCGATATAGATAAGTCGATGACGCGATTGTGAAAAGTTGTGAGGAAATATCAATAATTGATAGATTAATTTCAAAAAAATACATAAATATTCAGAAGAGTACACAAGGAATTATCAACTACACCCCCTACCGCAGAAAAGTCAACTAACAATATGAGCGATCCTCTGCAAGAAAGTCCACAAATAACTTCTCTAAAATTTAACAAATTGCACAGCCCTAAGATGAAAAGTGTGTATTGGCGTTACTTTGGCTTTCCTATGGGCGACGACGACTGCATCATAACGAAGCAGAACGTTGTTTGTACATTGTGCCACAAGGTGTTAACAAATCATGGGAACACAACAAATCTGCGGGCACATTTGCAGTATCGGCACAAGGAAGTTTTTGATATGCTGGTTCAGGAAAATAACATCGCAGTTCCGCCTAGAAAACCGCCTGCTCCAAAAATGATAACGAAAATAAAGCGGGAACCCAAAAGACCTAAGATTAAGATGGAATACTCGCCGCCAACGCTGCATAACACAATATCAAACGAATCAGCTGGTAACGATGAGCACGACGAGCAGTCCATTCTATATGAATCGGTGGTACCGATGACATACGACGATGATGATGTTATTGATAGTAATCATTTTACAAAAATCGAAGTATCAAATGCCAATGATATCAAAACATCCCCATGCAGTACCGATCTATTAACTGTAAACCGTACAGAGCGAAAGTTTTGCATTACAACCAGCGCCAACAATATTGAAAATGAGCTGGCCATTGACGACTACCAGATGTTGGAAGCATTAGCCAATCTGGTGGTGAACGACATCAGAAATGTAGATACCCTGTATGATGATGGAATGGCCAAATTCATTCGTACTATCTGTGGAAACATTACAATACCAGCGCTTAAAAAGGTACGTTTAAAAAAATATCCTTTACATATTTTATTCCATAAATGGGATTCCACAAATATGGCTGGTAATAAGTAGTGTTAAGTTCGGCTACTCCGATTTTGTTTTGCCCTCCACCATGCAAAAACTTGATTTATAGCCATTCGCTATCCTCAAAATTCCAAAAATTCGGAAGTTCAGGGCTATACTTACCTTGAATATTTGAGAGAAGTTGATCTACACACAAATGAACTGAGATATCAAATTATAACTGATTTTGTTAGAAATAGAGTCTGAAACCTTCAAAATATCCAAAATAAGGATGTGTGGTTATATGGCGCCAATATCTAAATGTGGACTTTACTGAATATTTGTCGCGAAGAGCTTTACTATTTCAGAGTACCTGAAATATGAAACTTGGTTTGAAATTGGGAAAGCCGCAGATATAGGGTATGGTTGACCTACATTTAGTAGTTTTGAGAAGAGCTGAAATATAGCATTTCCAGATTAAATGAAAACTTTTGCAATTGAAATGAATTTTTTTTTTCGCCGCGGAAATGAAACCTTTTGCAATGTAAATGAAACCCTTTGCAGCGGAAATGAAACCTTTTGCATTTGAAATGAAACCTTTTGCAACCGAAATGAAACTTTTTGCAAATCAAATGAAGACAGATTTATTGAAGGAAAAATAACAACATATTTTTATCTTTAGTAGATCTAAAATTAAATCAACTAATTATAACTAGAATATAGCTAAAGAGGAATTTTTATAATTTATTAATATATTAATTTTTATATTATTTTTAAAAGTTCAATTATTGCAATGACCAGGTTCTTTATTGATTTGATATAAAATATTTCCATATTATTAAATTCGAAATGCTTAACGCCAAAAAGAGAAATTGAAAAAAATTTTGGCCTTTATGGGTATGGGCAGGGCTGAAATGCGAAATTAAGCTTTACTATAATGTTTTATAGTTATATAGTATAATATTAATCTTACCTATTAAAGGATTCCCGCTTCGCAGTTTTATTGATAATGGAAATAGAGCAGTGTTGCTATGTGGGCTATTGAAAGGTTCGCTTTATCGCATACGCAATGTAATGCCTTATTGAAACATGCCGGTATCATTTTCAATATCAAACATCCTAGACACAATACAATGTTGTGCCAAATTTCAAATCTCTACATCAAATTTCATCTCAATAGCGGAATGACAAATTTAATATACCCACCTTTCCATGGAGGAGGTTATAAAAAGAAATTTAATGTGGGTCTTTTGGAGAAAAGACATTGAAAAAATTTAATTTTTCTGCATCTACTCTTGCGAAATAATATTATAAAAATGTAGATATTAATAATTAATAAATCCCCCTTTAACTATATATTAGTTATGATTAATTGATTTAGTTTTAAACGTACTAAAAATATTTTTTTTTTATTTTTTCTTCTATAAATCAAAAAGTTTCATTTGATTTGCAATTTCAATTGTTTCACTTAATCTGAAAATTTGTCATTCCATTTGTAAAACCTCTAAATATTCGTCGTAGACCTCATAAAGTACATACAATTATGATCAAAGTTGATTTAATGAAATGAAATGTGATATAGAGCTTTGAAATTTGGCACAATATTGTATTGTGTTTAGGATATTTGGTATTGAAAATGATACCGGCATGTTTCAATAGGGCATTACATTGTGTACGTGATAGAGCGAACCATTCAACAGCCCACAATGCAAGACTGCTCTATCTCCATAATCAATAAAGCTGCGAAGCGGGAATCCTTTATTAGGTAACCATAACTATAAAACATTGTAGTAAAGCTTAATTTCGCATTTCAGTCCTGCCCATACCTATAAAAGCCAAAATTTGTTTCAATTTCTCTTTTTAGCGTTAAGCATTTGGAACTTAATAATATGGAAATATTTTATATCAAATGAATTAGGAACCATTTGTTATTACAATAACTGAAAATTTAAGAAATGATATAAAAATGTAGATACTAATAATGAATAAAAAATTCCTCTTTATATATTAGTTATAATTAATTTAAAATAAAAATTAAAAATAACAATGTTTTGTTATTTTTCCTTCTATAAATCTAAAATTTTCATTTCATTTGCAAAAAGTTTCATTTCGGTTGCAAAAGGTTTAATTTCCACTGCAAAAGGTTTCATTTCCACTGCAAAAGGTTTAATTTCCTCGGCAATAAGTTTTATTTCAATTGCAAAAGGTTTCATTTAATCTGAAAATGCTATATTCATGACTGTCCACCTTTTATATTTTATATTCATGACTGTTCAACTTTTTGCGGACGACGTAATTTTATTGTTTTCTGGTAATATATGTATGTGGCCTTCGTGTTGGAACTTTCTTAGCTCACTTGTTATTAGTGTCACTTGTTTTGTATGTGTATAAAAAAAATCAATTCATTCATAAATTTCAAAATATCAACGCCATTGCTTCCACGCAAATTTATTTTGAGGCACAATAATTTGGACCATTTATAAAAACTCTCCATTATCGAAAATTGAAAATTTTGCAAAAAAAAGCAATCCAAATTCATTCATTCATGAACCTTTGCTTCAGCTATGTTATGTTTTGGCGATATTGCCCATATATACCACGGAGGAGCAAGTTAAGTTCAGGGGTTATGCTCGGCCCATTTTGATAGTAATTTTTCGTGGGGAAATAGCCGTTTACTCGGTTATTTGATCCGAAATTTCGAATACAACACCCGGTTTTTATCCGGTTCTACAAAATCAAGGTATCATTTGAAAGCTTATGGAACCTGTTCCGGAGTAATGCAAGAAAATGTGTATTTCTATACCAGTACTTTTGGAAAAACCCCTAAAAACTCGAAAATGGACCAATTATGGGATATAAAGATCTACATACTACATTATAGCCTGTTTTCCTTCCTTTCCAAAATGTTATCATATGTGCTAATATCTCCTATAGTTAGATAGATATTTGTGATGCAAATCAGGAAATTGAGATTTTCTCCTCTAATATGATCTAAGCTTTTTTACAGACACGACCTTCGGCCGGGGCTTGAGACTTTCTACGCTGTGGTATGTCCAACACCGGCAGCGCGATGCACAGTTTCTCTAAACTATATAACTTTTAGAAGTAATTGGAATTCGGCTTAAAAGTCAATATCTTCGAAACTACAAAGCTATAAAGGTTAGGTCATTCTTTAACATAACCTTTGTGCAAACAACCACTCCACTCGGTTCACCACTCCACTTGTGTTCATCCTATTTAGAGAAGGAGAAGATGAATAAAATAACTGAAGGGAAGGAAACGAATAGTGAATAAGAAGAAGCATGAATATAGATAGGAATAGAGAAGGTAGTAGGTTTGTTTTAGTCTTCTGGCTAACTGAAGAATGACCCCTGGCTCGGTTTCGGAGGGGAGGACAAGTGAGAATTTGCTTACCCAGTAGCATCTGTCTCACTCCGATAAGAGTTGGGCAGTGGCAGAGTAAGTGCTCCACCGTCTCAGTTTCCTCCTCGTCCTGGCAAAGCCTGCAGTATTCAGTATCGTCACCCCAATTTTTAAGTCATGGCCCTTGTGTTGCGGTGTCCTGTAATTAGGCACACCACAAGCTTCAAGTCCGATTTCGTCATGGCATTGAGTGACCTAATCTCCTTTTGGAGTTCACCGGCCAAATCTTTTTGGAGACATTACATCCCCTTCCACTGTTTATGCAGTATTGGGAAGAAGTGGCATAAAAGTGGTTTCACTGTGCTTTCAATCTCTAGATCTACTGACTCAGATCAGCATCTGGACAATTTATCAGCCGATTTAATGCCAGATATGTTGCAGTGTCCAGGGACCCAACAGAGTTTGACAAACGACTTAACCTTTTCCAGAGCATTCCTGCAATCCAGAACTGCCATAGATTTGATTGTAAAATAATTTAAAGCCTTCAGGGCCGCTTGACTATTGACATATATAGTCACCGGTCCATCCAGCCCATTGATTCTGTTTGCCAGCAGCTCTATGGCATTCCTAACAGCAAAGATTTCTGCCTGAAAAACGCTGCAGTCGTAGTTTATTTTTGAAGGATCATTGGATACTTAGGCTTTCACAGAAGACCCCAGCTTCCGTTCCACTTTCCATCTTTGACCCTTCAGTATAGACAGCTATACCATTAAAAGGTGGAATGATGGGGGTCCAGACGTCCCTCTTAGGTATATGGATATCAAGTAATTTAAAGCTTTGCCTAGGTGATATATAATCAGTGGATATAGCCTGATTTCATATGTTCTCTACGTGCTTGAAAATGACGGAGTGTCCAAAAGACAAAGGACCACTTCAATGAGTCGCAGGGCACACCTAGCAGGTTTTTTCTCTACAAATAGACTTAAGGGTTTTAAATTGAGTAGGGTATCTGATGCGGATTGGGGTGCGCTCCTAAACGCGCCTGTAATTAGTAGCGATGCAACTCTTTGGACTTTGGACCAAACTAGCCCTTCATAGGTTAGGATTGGCCGGACGATTGACTCATATAACCATTTGATTATATGAGGTTTAAGTCCCCAACTCTTTCCTATGGAGTTTTTGAAGGAGTAAAGTGTAATTAAACCTGTCATCGCTCGCTCCTCGATATTCCTTTTCCAGTTTAATTTCTGGTCTAGGACGATACCGAGGTACTTGGTTTCCGAAGATAACACCATCCAGTAAGCCATAGAGGTTAGATAGATATTAGTGAAGAAAATCTCAATTTCATGATTTGCAACACTAATATCTCCGGAACTACAAGAGATATCAGTACCATTTTGGAAAGGCCAAGGTGTAGGCTACAATGTAGTATGCGGTTTTTAAAAATGATCCGGTAAAAAATACCCATTAGATAGGTATTTCCACAAGCTTTCAAATGATACCCATTTTGTACATTTCAGTTTTGTAGAACCGCATAAAACCCGCATTTTGTATCCGAACTTCCGAGTCGAATAACCGGGTAAGCAGATATTTTCCTCACAAAAAAATTACTTTGCATAGCATAGCCCTTAAACTCAACACAGTCCAAAAAAATTTTGGCACGCCAATTTCCAGTACTTAGAACAGCATTTTTCTTCTCTTCAGGATATCTTTCAACTCCTGCTTCGGACTTGTGTCAAAAGGTTTCTGCTAGGCATTATCGATATAATCGACTTTCGCCCTCCCATTAGTAAAGTTCCGCCACAGTACAACGGTTCAGGGACAGTTGTACTGTCTGCGCCACTACCCTTTCCAGCCACTGGCTGAGAAGGGAAAATGGCCGCTTTAGGGTCTGCTTCTTTAAGCGAGAATGGCAAGTCAACAGACCTCCATACTGCCAAAATTCGTCAGGCACATGGATCATCTTCATAATTTACTCAATTTTTATATTTTCCAATTACAAACATTCACATTTTTTGTATTATTAATTTCTATTTTCAACACACAAAAAAGGAAATAATTTAATTGTCAATGTTGAATATGTTCAACTTTGAAATTTCGTACGCTCGACACTCATGTAAATACTTGTGTGAATTATAGGTAAAACTGTTAAGCAAGCCACACACGATACAACCGTTTGCACAACTTGGAGGATAATCAAGTTGTATGCCTTGGCCACAAACGATACAATCATTGTTTACAATCCATGGTAGAAAAATACAGGTAGACGCATCAACGCGTGGGAACAATCCCACGGCAGCGGGTTCTACGATACCGGATTGACCCGAAACAACAAGATCCCAGTTTCGGCCAGCGGCTGCCAACCCAGTATGTACATGTTTGTGTTTGTTTATATTTCTGCATTGGGAGCAGCATATCCCGGAATGCTTGCTCCGGATTTTATTGGTCCGTGCCGGGATTGAGGAAAACCCCGGACCTTGATTCTAATCGGTTTTTTAGAACGTCATCCACCACAGATCTGTTTCGGTGCGATGTAATGGATGTAGAGAATAGGTGCACTTCAAGAACTGTTCAGGACTAAGGCGTTTGCGAGACTACACCGAAAGAGATTATGTTGCGACTTGCTGCAGTAACGTAGTCCCCAGCGAGTCCACTTCTTCGTCGTCCTCATCAGAGACGTCGTCGGAGTATGGCACTCCACCGCAGTCTCCAGAACAGCAAGCAACACCGCAGCACCTAACGCCACATGTTGCTGTTCCAACTCCGGATTGTGCATAATTCTTGCAATTCAATTGCAACGGACTTCGAGACAAAATAGATGAGATAGTGGAATTTATGAATCGGAGGAATATTAAGATCGCAGCGGTGCAGGAAACCAAGCTGAATGAAAATTGCAGCCTACAACGTTGTTATGGTTACCACGTACTAAGGAAGGATCGCACCAGAATTGGAGGTGGGGGATTAGCGTTCCTGTTACACCATTCTGTTCAGTACAGACCTATCTCGCTTGAGCTAGTCTCTAGTGACCCATACATGGAATGTATGGGGGTAGCAGTCAAGTGTGGAACTGCCGAGGTAGGGGTGCTTAATGTGTATGTCCCGCCGATTAATAGCTGTGAACCGCGTTATTTGTCTGATATTAGCCCATAATTGGTATGCAAAAAACCGCCTGGTACTAGGGGATTTTAATGCCCACCATGAGTTGTGGCATTCCGTCCTAGGTAATGACTAGAGGGGATCAGCGCTGGCAGAGCAGATTGACTGCTCCACATTCTGCACGGTTAACGAGGATGCCCCCACCCGAATAAGAGGAGAGTGTTACAGTTCGCCATATTTAACCATAGTGTCACCCGGTCTGATAAATGACGTGACATGGCAACCCGTCATTTCTCTTGGCTCAGATCATCTCTCGATAATCGTCTCCCTAAGCAGGTCGCCCGATTTCATAACCTCTGAACGCCGCACTTTCATTAACCATGGGAAAGCTCACTGGCTAGAGTTAGGAGAATTCAACAACCGCCGCTTCAGAGAACTGCCCAACCCTTCTGATGTTCGGGTAGCAGAAAGGATTTTCCGAAACATCATGCTGGTCGAATACCCGAGATAAGACCAAACTTCCCAGCAGAGGCAGCGGGATTAGCAAACGAGCGTGATGATCTCCGTCGTACCAACCCTACTGATCCAAGAATCAGTGATTTGACAGTGGAAGTCAACCGGTTGGTACAGGAGCATAAGAGCTGTGGGTAACGGTTAAGTCGCTCTCGAACCCTGGAAAAAAGGATGATAGAACCTCAGTCACTTTTAACGACGTAACGGTGACTGATCCGCGGAATATTTTAACCGACAATTTGTCGAGCACCCCGGGAGCGATAGGGCGAAACGAAGAGTACTACGTCGTATCAGATCTCTTCCCGCCAAGGAGGAACCACCACAGTTTACGATGGGTGATGTTGCAAATGTGATCCGTAACGCTAAGTCATGTAAAGCGTTGGGCCCGGACGGAATCTCAATGGTAATGTTGAAGCAGCTGGATACGGGAATCGAGTACTTAACGAAAGTTCTCAATTTGTCGCTAGCCACCCACATAGTGCCCGAAACCTGGAAAATGGGCCGGGTGGTCAGCCTACTGAAGCCAGGCAAGGAAGTCAGTAAAGGCGAATCGTGCAGGCCGATTTCGCTTTTGTCGCCAGTAGCTAAGACTCTTGAGGCTTTTCTCCTCCCCAGCATTAGTGGAAGCTATACAGTTGCCAACCACCAGCACGGATTCCGTCCACAACATAGTACCACAACAGCATTACCCGCCATTTTCACACATATTAGTAGAGGATTGAACCAGAACAGGCCGTGTGACAGAACAGTGTTGTGAATCATGCCACTCTGTTTGAGGACGTGCAGTGAACTACCCTCCGGCCAAGTTTGAAACGTTGGATAGTCAACTATATGTGTGGACGTCAGTCGTACGTGGAATTCCGAAACAAGAAGTCCAAAGCCCGTAGAGTGAAACAGGGAGTTGCTCAAGGTAGGGTGATATCTCCGGAACTGTTTAACCTCTACCTTTCCGGAATTTCTCGCCCTCCAGACGGCATTGAGATCGTAACGTATGCGGATGATTGTACGATCATGGCGTCGGGCCCAGTGATCGATGACATATGCGAAAGGCTGAACCCCTATCTCGTGGAGCTTGCCGCATACTTCCACGCGAGGACTATGAAAATATCCGCCACGAAATCAACGGCCACACTCTTTACCACATGGTCTGCGGAGATGAGAACACAGCTGAATGTTCAGGTCGAGGGGAATCTAATACCGACCACGAACTACCCCAAGATTCTTGGGGTCACGTTCGACAGCATGTTCAAGTCGTCTGCGCAAGCCACAGCTATCTGCGATAAGATGAAAAGTAGGAACAAGGTCCTCAAGGCGCTAGCCGGAAGCTCTTTGGGTGCGGACAAAGAAACCTTGTTGACCTCTTATAACGCAATAGGTCGGTCTGTGGTCAGCTATGCGGATCCAGTGTGGTCTGCGAATACTAGTGCTGCGCAGTGGAAGCATATCCAGACCTGCTAGAACGCTGCCCTGAGAACTGCGACAGGGTGCCTTCTCATGACATGAGGAGAAGAAAGTCCTTCCCTTATGTCAGCATAATCATATGCTTTCGTTGCAGTACCTGCTTGGGTGTTACCGTGAGAGTCATCCCAACCATCATATGGTGAATAAATCTTCCCCACTAAGGCGTGTCAGGAAGGACATACATGATCTAGAGAGGGAGGTCCAGCGCTACAAGAGAGAACCTCTAGATAAAGAAGCCTATCAGGCAGGTCTGAGTGGCATTCACACCGATGCAGTCGCGGATGCTATTAGCAGTTATAAAGTGAAGGCCGTCATCGGAGTCCACCCCACATCCATTGCAGCTGAAGAACGTCAGCTGTCTAGAAAAACCAGGGTAGTTTTGGCACAATTACGTTCAGGATGGTGTAGTAGTCTCAATTCGTATTGGGCACAAATGGATGAAGATGTGCGTGACGCCTGCCCGGCGTGCGATACAGGCCCGCACAATACGCTACACCTCTTTAATTGCACAGCCAAACCTACCCAGCTCACTCCAGAAGATCTCTGGCTACAGCCCTTTAAAGTAGCCGAATTTCTAAACCTGGAGCTGGAACCTGATTAGCAGAACGCAAACACATGCATGTACTACTGCTACAACAACAAGGCGTGGGAACATTGATATGTCGAAGAATTTGAAATGTTTTTTGAAATAAAAGTAGATTTTTATATGTTTTCCTATACGACGTCATTCGGAGGTTATTATAATTCGCGTTTTCAAAAATTTTTATTTCCATTCAACATTTTCAATTCCAAAATTGGTTTGACAGTTCATTGTCCCAGCAGCTGAGTCGATGCGTCTAAATATATTGTATGCGACATGCACACAAACGTTACAATCAGTTGGTACAACTTGCCAAATATCAACAAATTTTGATTTTTTATACAACTGAGACACAATTTGGTACAACCGGCCCACAAACGATACAATATTAAATACAACCTCTCCAAGTTGTAAAAATTAAATTAACTACCTAAATGTCCATAAATGTGGAGAGTACTTACTGCCGTTTTGTAATCCATAAATCTAGACGTTTCTAATTTGTTCCTTTTTTGAATTGGTCTTGTGTATTAATTTATGACTGTATTTAAATTTCTTTTCAGATTGAAACATACATTAAGGAAGTGCATAGCGATAAACAAACAAGTTTGGCCGATCAAATTAAAGTTCATTCTCAGATAAAGCCATTTTCTCTGGGGTTCGAAATTTGGGAAAATGTCGAACAAAAACACTTTTTATCTATTTATTTCAACTATGCAACAGATGCCCCAGACTTTAACTTGATTACTCAAATCTATTGCACAATCGAATACAATAAGTTTACTGTTATTGACAACATCTTTGAAGATTTCAATTTAAATAACTGTACCGCTGCAATTATAAACTGTGACTATGATGAATACCTTAAGCATTTCTTAAACGAAAAAAGTAGGTGTTTGATGTAAATAGTTAAATATTTTTGACTGTGTTATTACTTTTTTTTATAACAGATATTCCGGTAATATTGTCATATGATACAGTAGTGAATCACTGCATTAAAAACGTAATAGCTATACCAGCCGTGGCCTCAATTATTGAAGAAGTAAAGGATACCCTAATGCGCTATCATTTGGAAATAAGTGCCAAGGTAAGTGCAGAAAAGATATCTTTAATTATATGTTAACTTTTTTAAATCGTCGTTTCTAGGACGTGGAAATTCCACAAATATCTAATGAATTTCCTTGGACATACTATGAACTGCTGAAGTTTTTCTCAGAAACTGTGTCCTGGCCAGAAGATGTCGAAGCTTTAGTGACGTCGTCAAAAGTTATCTACGATATTTTAGGAAATTTGGCGGTAAGTGTTTTATTAGCTTTGCGAATAATAATAGGTTAATTACTCACGTTAGATTCCACAAACCAAATTTATTATACAACCGTGAAAACTCTAATTCCATTTAGCGAACGAATAGTTGGGTATTTTGTCATGGCAGGTCAACTTTGTAAATAGGCCATATCGGTTCATATTGTCCTATTGCCCCATATAACGGTAACCCCCGATATTCGATATTTTGGCGATACAGCAAATAACTGTCCATATAGATCTCGTTTTTCCATTGCCCTTACATATTGGCACCTTTGATATTAGGCATTTTTATTATATTGGCCACATTTCTCTACGAAATTCTTTATAATTTGGTATGTAGAGTTTGTAATGTCTTCTGCGGCCTGTTTTATAATGTTGTCTATAGGCCCACATATTCCTATAGCCTCAATATATCGATACCTTCGAATATTCGTTATTATGACGATGTTAACCTCATTTTCTATTGGATTTGTTTAAACTTGTAGGTCGTAAAGGGTTCTACCCAAAGTGTCAGATCTGCTGGACAAAATCATGTTTCCAAGCTAATACCAATTATTAAAAATATGCATATACATTTGTATGTATTTGGCTAGGATAAAATAAAACTCCCTGCGTATTAAAGAATTGATCTTGCAATATCTTTTACTTTTTTTATTGTTTTCTCTTAATTTTATAAAATACATGTCATATAATTGATATAAGACGTACTGATATAGTTATCAAGTATTAACATTTATATTTTTTCACTCAAAATTTTATTTATGAAAACCTCACATTAACAATGGGTCGATAATTTCGTAAAATAACATTTTAACAAATTTTTTTGTTGCAGATTACAATTGAAACTTTGAAAGGTGAAGACATACCATTGAGCAGCATGCTTTCGCCAATAACTTCTAAAGTTCTAACAAAGAAGCTTGTTATAACGGAGGGAGATGATAATTTCGCTGCAACCATCAAGGACACCATTAGCACAACACTTGACAAAATGTAAGTATTCATGTTTATATATTATAACAATGTACATAGGTTGTAATATAGTATGTGTAATGTACACATAACATTTTTTCCGAAATATTTATTTGCAACCACGAGCTAAAATATTTTATGTAATTTTTATTATCTACAGGGTATTGTCGGATATACATTTAACAATATCGGCATTATTGGATCCACGGTTTCATCGTTTAACAAACATTACCAATTACAACACTTGTGTGCAAATTCTTACCGATAAATATGACAGAATTGTGGAATCCCAGGGCATTTCTCCAATAAAACCATCAGGGAGAACAAGTAATACGGGAGTAAAGTCATCAACGAGCTCGATGATTAAAAAATCAAGTACGATTTCTTTTTTCTATTATACGTCAACTTTAACCATTTTGTTTTTGCAGATTTAGAATTATTTTTCGACCTAACAGAAGGGCCTATAGAGCAACCTGCAGCACAAGAGCCAAGTAATGTAGAGACTGATTTGAAACGTTATCGCTCAGATGTTTATGTTTCTCTAGACGAATCACCATTCGTATGGTGGAGTAAAATGAGTCATTTGTATAGCTCATTAAAGCATTTAGCTGTCCAGTACCAATGCCTCCCTTGCGTCGTTAATATGAATTATAAAAAACCAATCAAGCAACAAATCTCGGAACATCAAAAGCGGTTTATGTTGACCGGAAATTTAATAGATGCAATTTTATTTCTGCATTACAACTAAACAAACACATCGGATTATTTTGTTGTGGAGTTTTTGTCTACATTTAAAATCTTAATTATCATCAGTAGGACTACAATTATGGTAATTTAGTTTTGCCTGTATTTCTAAAAATACTATTTTAGAACGTTTAAAATGGTTAAGTGCGTCAATATTGAGTAATTAATAAAACGTTGAAGGGAAGTTAAATTTTTAATATTGTTGTTGTTATAGCAGTTTTAACATGTTCCGTTGTTTGTTTCCTGACTAATCCGGTTCTTCCTCAATGTCCAGGTTTAGGAATTCTGCTACCTTTATGGGCTGTAGCCATAGATCCTCTTGACGGAGTTGGGTAGGTTTGGCTGGACAATTAAACAGGTGCAGCGTATTGTGTGGGCCTGTATCACGCTGGGCAGGCGTTCCGCACATCTTCGTCAATTCGCTGCCGGCTAGCGACTTGATTACCTTGTTCCAACTTTTCATTTTATCGCAAATAGCTAGTGGCGGAACAGTTCCGAAAATATCACCCCACCTTGGGGAACTCCCTGTTTTACTCTACGATGCTTGGACTTCTTATTCTGGAATTCCACGTACGACTGGCGTCCACACATGTAGTTGACTATCCAACGTTTCAAACTTAGCCGGAGGGTAGTGGCATGGTTGACCGTATCAAAGACCTTTGATAGGTCGAGAGCTACCACTACTGCTGAGCTACCGGCCTGTTCTGGTTGAGTCCTCGACTGATATGTGTGGATGTGGCGTGCAATGCTGTTGTAGTGCTATGTAGTGGATGGAAACCGTGTGGATGGTTAGCAACTGAATAGCTTACTCTGATACTGGGGAGGAGTAAGGCCTCGAGAGTCTTCGCTATTGGTATCCTTGCCAGGCTTCAGTAGCGGGATCACCCTACCCATTTTCCAGGCTTCGGGAACTATGTGGGTGGCTAACGACAAGTTAAGGACTTTGGTTAGATACTAAACTCCCGGTGCATCCAGTTGCTTCAACATTACCATTGATATTCCGTCCGGGCCCAACGCTTTTGATGACTTAGCGTTTCGGATGACATTCGCAACATCACCTATCGTAAACTGTGGAGGTACATCTTCGGCGGGAAGAGCTCTTATATGACGTAGTACACCTCGGGGTGCTCGACAAATTGTCGGTTAAAATATTCCGTGCACCTCTTCGGATCAGTCGCCGTTACGACTGAGGTCCTATTATCCTTTTTTCCAGGGTTCGAGGTCGACTTAACCGTTACCCACAGTTTACTCAAATCGGTTCCAATGTTGCAACACTTTAGATGGTCTAGCCACTTTTTCCGCTTATGCTCCTGTACAAACCTGTTGACTTCCACTTTCAGTTCACTGACTCTGGGATCATCACGCTCATTCGCTAATCCCGCTGCCTCTGCTGGGAAATTTTGTCTTACTTCGGGTATTCGACCAGCAGGTATATAGCGAGCGGCTGCAGCTTTGATGATGTCCCGGAAAATCCTTTCAGCTACCCGAACATCAGAAGGATTGGGCAGTTCTCTGAAGCAAAGGTTGGTAAACTCTCTGAACTCGGGCCAGTGGGCTTTCCCATGGTTAAGGAAAGTGCGGCGTGCAGAGGTTATGAAATCGGGCGACCTGCTTATGGAGACGATTATCGGGAAATGGTCTGAGCCAAGAGAAATGACGGGTTGCCAAGTCACGTCATTTATCAGACCGGGTGACACTATGGTTAAATATGGCGAACTGTAACACTCTCCTCTTATTCGGGTGGGGGCATCCTCGTTTACTGTGCAAAATGTGGAGCAGTCAATCTGCTCTGCCAACACTGATCCCCTTTGGTCATTACCTAGGACGGAATGCCACAACTCATGGTGGGCAATGAAGTCCTTCCTCCTTATTGCCTTCCAAAAGTGGGCTTATATAAGGCAAGTAACGCGGTTCACAGCTATTAACCGGCGGGATATACACATTAAGCACCTCTATCTCGGCAGTTCCACACTTGACTGCTACCCCCATATACTCCATGTATGGGTCACTAGAAACTAGCTCAAGCGAGATATGTCTGTATTGAACAGAATGGTGTAACAGGAACGCTAATCCCCCACCTCCACTTCTGGTGCAATCTTTCCTCATTACGTTGTAACCATTGCAACTTTGTAAGCTACAATTTTCATTCAGCTTGGTTTCCTGCACCGCTGCGATCTTAATATTCCTCCGATTCATAAAATCCACTATCTCATCAATTTTACCTCGGAGTCCGTTGCACTTGAACTGGCAGAATGATGTACTGTCCGGAAGGTTGCTGTTCTGGAGACTGCAGGGGAGTTCCATACTCCGACGACGACTCGGAAGTTGACGACGAGGTCGTGGACTCACTGGGGACTACGTTGGTACAGCACGATGCAACATAGTCCCTATCGCTATAGTCATGTATGCATGTTCGTGTTTGTTTATTTTTCTGTATTGGGAGCAGCACGTCCCGGAATGCTTGCTCCGAATTCTTTTGGTCCGTTTCCGTTCTCAAAATACCAAGATGTACCAAATTGATCGCTTTTAAGTACTTTTAGTAGACTTGTTATTCGAATCTACGAAAACCCTTTGGTTCCTTTAGCCTACAAAACATGAGGTCAATCTTATAGTGTAGGGGTGAGATAAGGCGGGGTTTTTGGAAATGCGAACTTTAACTGCACTAAAAGTAACAAAAAATGTGCCTTTTGGGATGGAACAGAGTTGCAGTCGTATTGGGAAAACCATGTTGTCCTAAATCCTCATCGTTCCATTCATTTTTTACGCTATTCTCTTAAATCAAAATATATTTTGCAATTTTAGGAAACATGAAATATACGACTATCAGAGTTAAGATTTGCTCGTTTTCACTCGGGAGCGAAACTTACTCACGAGCAGGATTGTAATTTTTTACGGAGTCTACTCCTCACTCTTTTATTTTGTGCGGGAGCACTCCTGAGCCACTCCTGTTTGAAAAATAAGAGTGTGTTAAGAGTGAAAATGAATAATAATTGCTTAGAAATGACATACAAGTTAACCAAAATGGCAAAACCTCTAGTTAACCTCTGGCAAAATGGGACTGTCTCTTCTGTCCGTGGATTAAAAATATTGTCTCTGAAAGATTGTTGACCCTGCGAAATGCTAAAGCGATGTTTAAAGATTCGTTCGTTTTCTTAAACGACGACAATCTAATGTTGTAATCATGGTAGACAAATACAGGTAGATGCATCAACGCTTGGGAGCATTGATCTGTTAACATTTTTTAAATTTCTTTCCAAATATAAGTAGATTTTTATATGTTTTCTTATACGACGTCATTCCGAGGATATTATAATACTCGTTTTTCAACAATTTTTACAAATTTAAATAATTTTTCATTCAACATTTTCAATTCCAAATTTGGTTTGACAGTTCACTGTCCTAGCAGCTGTGTCGATGCGTCTACCTATATTCTTCTACCATGGTTGTAATGATATACATGTTTTTAACAGTTCAATGACCAAGCAGATGTGCCGATCCGACTACCTGTATTCTTCTATCATGCCATGATCCAAGTATAAGGTCCCCCTTCCAGCTCAGCTGCATATTAAACGATCTGTCAATTAAATTTGAATACGCTGCAACCAAATTTGTTGTAAAAAGAAAAAAATTGCAATAAAAATTATAAAATAAATAATTTGTTTTTATTTTAAAGTATATACAATGAGAATATGTAAGATTTGCAAAAAGATAGAGGTGCCAGAGATAATTTTTTTCCGTCCCCAAGTTTGAAAAAATTAGGGGATATGGAGTACACTTGTCAAGTGATGTTTATACCCACATCACAGGTGTTTTCGAACCACTTCAACATGGAGCATGTGGTAAAATCCGAAAACAACTATCAAATATTTATGTTGTGGAAATAGAGCACAGATTTTTATAATTATGGAAATGACTTTTGACTTGTTTTTTGATAGATTCTCGAAGCAGCACATGGTAGAAGATTAAAGGTAGTCGCATCGACACAACTGCTGGGGCAATGAACTGTCGAACCAATTTTAAATGAAAAATTATTCAAAATTAAAAGAGATGAAAAGTGGTTACTTCGACAGGTGTCCGATAATCCGAAGCTTAGTACACCTACACTTGCGGAAATGCGGAGAAGTATCTTAAAAAAGTGTAACCAAGAAATTATTCGCCGAATCCTGTGTAAGCATGGCAAATTCGCTTAGTGTTCGCTCAGGAGCAGGAAAACATTATTTTGAATTTTGGAAGTCTGTTATACGACTATATTACCTAAAGTGGTGTCGATGCTCCGCGAAAAAGTTTCTACACCATCGCCGTAGACGCTGCCTGTTTTATGCATATCTCGTATGTCAAATTACGCCGATTTCCTTTCTAATTTCGATTTGAAGTGGTCCACAAAACCTTGAAAGAAAACAGTAATGCCCTTTTGTCTCGATTAACTCCAACCAACAGAGTGAACAAGCTCAGTTTTGATAAGGCCTTATGTAATGACCTTGATGAATTCGACAGTTTCGTGATTCGCCAAATTAATCACTTACCGGTAACTGCTGAACGAATTGCGCTGGAAACATGAAAGGAAAGTGGACAGTGTTTGTCAAAAGCCGGGCATTGACAAAGGCATTGAGAGCCCTGCGAGAAATCTGCAAAGTATGTAAATGTCCCGAAGAAGTGCACAGATCATCATTGGGAGTACCCCAATGCTCCGTGGGAACGAGTGCACATAGATTATGCGGGTCCCTCTGAGGGAATGATGTTACTCATCATTAGCGATGCCTTCTCTAAATGGTTAGAGGTAAAGGTTACCAAGTCAATGACCGCAGCTGCGACGATTACATTGCTGGAGTACAATTAATAGTTGTTTCCGATAATGGAACGAATTTTTCTTCGGCTGAATTCAAGAATTTTATACAAAAATTGGCGTTAAGTAGCACAAATTACTGACCCCTTCCACCCATCAACTAACGGTCAAGCAGAGCGAAGAGCCATCTGCCAGATGGCAACCCAATTTCCACTAACATTCTCAATTCCGTATTCTTTAGTTATAAATTCAAATTTACTCTTGTAACTTGTACATCACAACCTTTCTTAATAAAATAAACTAAATTAGATTAAAATTCTAGACTTTGAGTATACAATATATATAATAATATAATTTATATAAAAAATTGTATACCCAATGGCATGGTAGAAAAATACAGGTAGATGCATCAACGCTTGGGAGCATTGATATGTCACAAAATTTGAAATTTTTTTTCTAATATAAGTATATTTTTATATGTTTTTTTATACGACGTCATTCGGAGGATATTATAATACTCGTTTTCCAACAATTTTTACAAATTTAGATAACTTTTCATTCAACATTTTCAATTCTAAATTTGGTTTGACTGTTCATTGTCCCAGCAGCTGTTTGTATGCGTCTACCTATATTCTTCTACCATGCCCAATGGTTGAACTAAAAACTTAAAGTCGTGCAATCATGTTTACATTTTTTTTAAATTTAGACATGTAGGACAAGGTTACCATATTTCGTGTCTGATAGAAAAAAATCGCTGTTGTACTTAACAAAACGACAACGGCGATGATTCGGAAACTTTTTTTTCGCGCTTAAGGAACTGCGACGTTACATTCAGCGTACGAAAATAAACTATTGCAAACGTTTGCAATCGTTTTGTTCTGTATTTTTCCGAAGTACGAAACGAAACAAAACCAATACTCAGCTAACGGCACTTGCTTTTTGTTTTGTACTGTTTGTGTATGTGAGTGAAAACAAAACTGCTGAATGACGCAACGTTGAAAACAGAACAGTACAATACACATTGCAAACGTTTGCTTGTATATTAACTCATTACTAATAATATAGAAAGTAATGTTAAGATGAATTCATGTATTTTTATTTGTATTTGAAAACGTATTAAGAAAATTATAATATAAAAATGGTTTAAAAAAATAATTAGACTTCATATTCAAATGCTCCAGTTACTCTAGTTAATAAAATGTGCTCCAAATTTGTTGGTATTAGCTTATTTCGCTGATCTGCTAATATGTATTTTAATGTCGAAAACACTCTCTCGACACTTACTTGTGTAAATGGAATCGCTAACACAATGAATGCAATTGTTGTTAGGGTATTGTTTTCTTTTGTCCAATAGTCTATAATATTTCCATTTATTGCAAATATGGGCTGTCTTGTTCGGCGACAGAGGTTGAATTAGAAAATTCGGATTCAGAAAAAGATGTAGCTGTAATATTATTTCCTGAAAAATATATTATTTTTACTTTTGATGGAAGAATTTGTGCTTAAATATAAATACCTTTCAAAGCTGAAATTCGTGTATTTAATTGAAGTATATAATTTTTTGCTCTTGCAATATCTTTGTTATTTAATGAAACTTTAATTCTTGGGTCCAAAAATATAGCGGTCAAAAATAAATCATTATCAAATAGCATGCATTTCCTTTTTCTTACAGCTTCGATTAGAAGTGCACTTAATTTAGTGCTTGGGAGTCTTTCCAATTGAAGTATAATATTCATGATTTGTATATATAACTCACTATAAATGAGATTTTTCGATTGTAACTTCTTAGATATGTCGTAAATAATTTTAAAAATTCGGCAATTGATTTCCAGCTACTTTCAGATATATCGAAAAACGGACGATCGACTTTAACCAAATTGATGAACTCCTTTAAATCAAACAAACGTTCCAACATTAAATATGTAGAATTCCATCTAGTCGGGCAGTCTAGGATGGGCATTTTGAATCCACTCGATTTTAAAAGGTTGGTATAGGACTGAGTTTTCAGTGTTTTTACGAGTTTTCAGTTTTTTTTTAATTTTATTGGCTTAATATGTCATCTTTATTTGTTTATGTATGTGTTTTCTTTTCAATAACAAAAAAAATTGTACAGAATCAAATTCGGGTGTTTATTTCAACGTATGCATCGACAAAATCTAGAGTTTTTGTAGCGAAATAATCCTTTAGAGATATATAGCAGTCGCTACTCAACCCTTGTTGATGCTAGACTGCGCCTTTTAACTCTAGTTTTGTTTTTTTAACACTCACACATTGAGACAAACACAAACATTTGTTTTGCTTTCGCGACATTTTGATTTTCTTTTGAATTTTTTTTTCAACAAAGAAAATTAAGTAGAAAATTGAAAAAACATTTGTTTTTTTTTTTCTAAAAAATGGATGCCGACGGGGAACCGCCCCCAACACCTATCTGGGACCCAAATAAACGCAGGGCACATCTAATGTCTAATCAAAAAAAAAAATATTCATAAACAATAATGGTGAACCCATCAAAAACACAGATGTATCAGAAGTCTCATCTAATGATTCTGATGTGTCTGAAAAAATTGAATTCAATTATAATGCCTTACAATCAAACATTTGTTACCCACAACACCATCCGGGACCATTTTATGTTATTGTGACCTTGGAAACTCCAATTAGTTCCAGGAGGAAAAACTGCGAACTACATCTTTATGCCCTTTTTCAAAAAATTAATGTTCCCACCAACTACGTTTGTAAAAACATAGGATATAATACATTCCGCATTACTTTCAATAACTTTGCACTGGCAAATTCATTTGTTCAAAATCAGCAACTTAAAGAAATTGTATTAAAAGCCGAAATCCCTGAGCGTTTTATTCAAAAGTTTTATGTCATAAAAAATGTTCCTAAATCCATTGATGGTATAACCATAAAAAAATCTATTGAACAAAACAATGATATGGAAGTAATATCTGTATACAGATTTACAAGGAAAACCGAAAATAACAAAATAGAAGAGACTGAAATAGTCAAGGTTGGAATAATCTGTAATGGAGTCCCTCAATCTATTTTTATGTGTGGTACTAGGATTAAACCTGATTTATATGTACCCCCGGTACGTCTTTGTAAAAACTGTGGGCGTCTTGGTCACATTGCCATACGCTGCAGATGTAGAAAGGAAGTCTTGCAAACGTACCCAGAATCCCACAATTATTACAACATTTTAGCTGATGGCAACTACAATTCTCAATTTCCTCCAATGAGTAAATCTTCTAATCAAAATATAAGAAACTTTAATGAAGAAATAAACAGAAGAATCGCAAAAATAAAGTACAGCAAAATAGCAGCTCCTCGCACCATTATCAATCATCCAGTAGCCAGTCCCATCAATGTTACACCTTCAATCCCTGTTTATGAACATTCATCCTTTTCCAAAGTATCAGAGCTGGAAAAAACAATGTCAATTTTTACAAAACAAATGTATCAGTTACTTACCTCGCTGAACTGCACGGAAGGTTTAGACATATTAGACAAATTCAGAAAATCCCTCTTACCAGGTCCTGCAAATAACACAAAAAATAAAATCATATCGAATGAAAATAGTCAATCTCCGAATTTAAGTCAAAAAAAAATCACTTCAAAAAATCAAAACAAATAATATTATTACAACACAACATTCAAAGCCTCAACAAAAACAAGAACTATCTTGAATTCTACTTGAATAAATTCAACATCGACATCTGCGTATTGAGTGAAATTTTTAATATAGACGAATCGCAAAATAATACAAGCATATGCAATTATAATATAGTGTCAAAAAAAGAAGAGACAACTACGGTGGAGTTGCAATACTGTTCAAAAATAATATTAAGTTCAAAAAGATGCAATTTGAAACCACATTGGACATCATTATTTGCCAAACAATCAACATGTCGAATAATATAACCATTGCATCCATATACTTCCCTCATTCTATTAGAGCTAGTGAAATAAAATATGAGCTCGAAAAATTGCTATGCTTTTTGGAATCACGAACTGATGTACTAATCTGTGGAGACTTTAATGCGAGGCATTCATGTTATGGAGACTCGTTTGATTCACATCGAGGAAATATTGTCAAATCCTTTTTCGACGCTTCAAATTTTTATTCTCTTAATAATGGAAACTTCACCTTTAAAAAACGCTCAACTGACACAACTGGTTCTGTTCTTGATCTGTCATTTACAAATACTACGTTAACCACTTCGTGGAAAGTACAACCTTTTACAATTGGGGGAAGCCATCATTACCCAATAGTTATTAATATTGGTATCAGCAATTTTACAAACCAAAGATTTCTAGCTAAGAAAAAGTTGTCAAAATCACTGAACAACGCAAATATCAATCCTCGCTTTGATGATATACATGCAACGTTTAAGGATGAAATAAAAAAATCTACATTTATTTTAAAAAATAAACAATGTCCAACAGTTTGGTGGGACCCTGTCGTAGAAAAAACACACAGACTTCAGCTAGCAGCTCAAAAAACGTACGACATGTTCAACAACAACATAAATGCTTCTAAACTTATTGAGGCTAACAAAGCTTTTACAATGCTCTTAAATTTGCCAAAAGGAAGTCCTTTAAATCTAAAATTCAGGATCTTAACAAGGAACCAAATTCTAAAGCACTTTTTAAATTTGTTCGCGGATGCAAAAACTCTTCAACTCCCATTTATGAAACAAAATGGTCTTCTGAAAACGATAAACAGTTTTTAATCCATCTTAGAGATCAAGTTCCCAATAATGCTCCAATTCAAGTCACTTTTACAAGTTCAAATACAACGCCAATTTTTTCAACAGAAGAATTTGAAACTGTTTTTCAAAAAAAGAAAAAGCCATCAGCTGCTGGTACAGATGGTGTTACCTATGAAATGGTTAACCATTTGTCTGACACGGCTAAAAATAACTTACTAAGAGCTATGAACAATGCTTGGAAAGATTGTCATTTCTTTGATGAATGGAGAAAAATCAAAATTGTACCCATCCCATCCCAACAAGGCAAAGACTTGGAAATATTTACAAACTACAGACCAATCGCTTTGATATCAGTTTTCGCCAAAATTATGAACTTGATGGTTAAGGAAAGACTTCAGACTTTTCTAGATCAAAATCACATATTTCTCCACAACACATATGCATATAGGAAAAATCTATCCGCCTCCATGTGCTTAAATGATTTGCTACACACAATAAATTATTATAAAGAACAAGGTGATAAAGTCATCATTGTATCTTTAGATGTGAATAAGGCATATGAATGTGTTAAAATTGAACTACTTGTCAAAATTATGAACGAGCTCTGTTGTCCGACTGATATAATTTTGTGGATCGCCAATTTCTTAAAAAAAAGGATCTTAATAATGGGAAATGAAAGTCTAGAAATTTATAACGGTCTACCTCAAGGAAGCTGCCTAAGCCCCACTTTGTTCAACATTTATACCCTGGGCTTACATGGTATAAACAACCAATGCATTAAAACTTTTCAGTTTGCAGACGATTTCATAATACTATCAGCACACAAAGATTTTGACACGACTAACAATATTCTTCAAAGCAAGTTTAATGAATTCGTTAAAATATTAAAATCGCTTAATCTCTCTGTCAACGCCGATAAAACAGCTGTGAAGTATGTGGCTAAAGGAGCTAGAAAAATACCACAAATCAAAATAGAAGGAGTATCAATTAACTCAGTTGACAAAATTAAATTTCTTGGAAGGCACATAAAAAATAGTTTAACAATAAAAAATCATTACGATGAAGTAATTAAGACTTGCAACACTACTTAAAATGCCTTGAAAATGATTAATTCTGTTAAAGGTGGACTTCACCCTAAAATATCCGTAAATTTATCGCGATCACTCCTGTTCTCTAAATTTGAATATTCTTTTTCTTCAATGGCTCATATGCCAAACTACATCAATACAAAACTTACAATATGTCAGAACCAAATTCTAAGGAAAAACTTGGGATTAACGCCTTCAACACCCGTACACATAATCTACGCCTTAGCAGTTGTTCTGCCGCCCGAACAGCGGTCGCACTACCTTGCTGCCAAAGAATTATTAAAATTCAAAATGTTTCACTTGAACACATATGAAAAATTCACGTCTTACCCATCTAAGAAAACAAGTCTTGGCATGGTGTACAATAAATTCAAGCATATTTTCGACAACACCAAAATAAGTCCTTCTGAAAGTCCAGGAGAAAAAATTTAATTTGCTATGAACATGTTTAATGCTGAAAAAACACGCAATCAACAGAATACTTTCATAGTATTTACCTCGAAAAAATTAACGAGTTCAAATCTAATGGCACTTCTATATGGGCGACCGATGCTTCGATTATTGGAAATTCAACAGGCTGTGGAGTTTGCAACTTTTCATCGAATCAAAACTTTCTTTTTAAAATTAACTCCAAATGTTCATCACTTATGGGTGAACTTAACGCTATTAACAAGGCCGTAGACCTTATTTTAGAAGATGGAATTCAAAGGGCTGTAATCCTGACCGATAGCAAAAATTCCTGTTTACTCTTAAGAAATAACACTTCACTCAACTATTTAGTAAACACAATTATCAGTAAGATAAATAATTCAAATATAAGTCATCTTACTTTTCTGTGGGTTCCTTCCCATATTGGAATCCAATCGAATGAACGCGCAGATTATTTTTCCAGACAAGCCGTGGATGCTGGCTGTGTCATTTCGTCCAACTTAGCCGTTAAGGATGCTCGTGTGGAAATATATGAAGCCCTATGGGATGAATGGGTTAGAAAATATAGACTATTGTCATTATCAAAAGGCACATACTTCTCTAGTTTTTTTTCCATCTCCACCAAAAAAACACTGGCATGCCGAACTGTCTTTAGAACCTGGAGAAATTAAAATTATCAATAGACTCCTAGCGGGTCACTCATACTGCAAAACGTACCTTCTTAAAATGAAGCTGACAGACACTAATTTGTGTGATGTTTGTAATGTACCTGAAACGGAAAATCATTTAATCTTTGAGTGCAATAAATTTCACCACCTAAGATGTAACTTCAATATTTTCAACGATTTTACCAACTTACCTGCTTTATTGAAACACCGAACAAACACCGTCACCAAGGAACTCTGTAACTTCATTACTTCAGTCAAAATTGAATTGTAAACAAAAATGATGTCACATTCACCATGGAACTAGTTCAATTATTTAGTTACTTAAGTGTTCACTAATATGTAAGCAAAACTAGTCTTGGTATATAGGTACTACGGGTACCTATCCAACAATTACTTTTCAATAAACCAAAAAAAAAGATATATAGTACACGATTTTGAAAAGAAGTGTTGACCTTTAATTCAGTCATTTATTCAAAATCATTATTCAAAATAAATGCAACAAGTTGTTTGATTTTTTTATTGTTTTCATACTAAGCCAAAACGGTAGACCTCTATACTTGAAATTTTTTCAAAGTTGGCCTACCTTCTCTTCATTGTACCATGATTGGCAGAATTGTCTGTCTCTTTCAAGTCGTTGACGGCCTTGATCATAGTAAGTAAGTAAGTAAGTAAGTAATTTTTTTATTGAGTCTTCTTCTTTTTCTATGTGATAGTGTTATGTAGTTCGAATGATAACATATAACCTTAGAATTATTATCGTCTTGTTCTAATACACTATGTCAACGAGGTATGCTACTGTGCACTTTTGACAATTTATATAATACATGAACGTTTCGATTAAATGATGAATTCTTGAAAGGCTTGCTCACGGCCTTGGAATGACAAACAGCGCTTTATAGTCTGTTACAAAATAAATAACTTAAAATACTAGTCAATACTTAAAAAAATAGATAACAACGATCTGTTAAAGCAATGTACAACAGAGATATGAGATTAACAGTAAAGTTAAAAAGTGTGTGTTTCGTACATAAAAAATATCACAGTTTGTTTAAATCAAATATATGTGTATGCATATATAAATCGAGCGCTCATAAAATTAAGCTTATTAGCAACATGTTAAAATATTATTATAAATATTAATTTAGGTTTTTTTTAGGTAATTTAGATTAGCCCCGGTTCGAGCCAGGTATTGTTTTATTATAAAAATCTGGAAGTGTGTATTTTTCTGGACCGATGTCCAGATTTTCGTTTATGATTCCAACAGGTGATATGTATGCCGATTCAGACCAGCGCAATAACTTTTCATATTCAAAGATTTCTTTTAACAAATCATTCGCATGTGTGGCCAATCTTTCGATAAATAGCTTTTGATAATTAAATGCATAATTACAGAGCGACTGAACTCCAGACGTTTCATATACAAAACTATTGGAGTACTTTTTGTGATGACGCAAGTAATGTTTGTTAATGCACTTTCGGAGGATTTTTCTTTCAAAGACTTCCAATTCTTTGGCCACTATAGGCGAAATAGTGAACCAGATTGGGAATCCGTATAGCAAAATAGGACTAATAGCAGTTTTATACATAAGAAGTTTTGTTTACTGCGGCAAATATTGATTATTAAACAGGCAAGAAAAGGCTCCAGATATACGCTTCGCCTTCTGTATCGCAGAACGTCCATGTGTATTGAATTTTAAAAGTTTGTTAAACTGGATACCCATATATTTTATATTGCTGGAATGGGATTTCAATTCCATCCAGAATCAGTTGCAGTCATTTGCTTTCAGGAACTACTTTTTGAGGACATTTTCCAGAAGCATTTCGTATATAAATGGCTTCCGACTTTGAGGCGTTTATTTTAATGCTCCAGGACTGATAATACTCTTTAATTACTCCTAGGTGGTAAGCAGCTTTATTTAGTGCTTCTGCGGGGTTGCTATCATGTGCATATATTAAACAATCATCTGCATATAATATAGCCTGTGAATTTTGTAAGACATGGGGAAAATCGTTGAGAAACAGATTAAAGAGGTATGGAGCTAGTACGCTTCCTTGTGGGACCCCACTGTTCACAGGACCAATTGATGAGGATTTGTCTTGAATTTGTACTGTAAACGTTCTGTTGCACAGGTAACTCTGTATAAGTTTAACAATGTATGGATCTGTTTCCAGCTCTACAAGTTTATATAAGATGGCACTGTGACATACAGAATCAAAGGCTTTTTCTATATCTAGTGATATAGCTACTGTACATTTTTGGTTTCTTAGGTTTTTGGTGATATCGTGATGAAACTTAAGGAGTGCATGTTGTGTTGAGTGTGCCTGTTTAAATCCAAAGTGAAAATTAGGTACAGGATCAATTATGAAGCCGTTTTCAATCTTATCCTCTCCAGGACTTTGCCAATGTTTGATAACAATGAAATTGGTCGAAAATCAGAGACAGTTTCGCTGTCAGTTTTCTTTTTAATGGGGATTATTTTAGCTGCTTTCCACGCAGTAGGAAAGTATCCATTGTTTATGCAATTGTTAAATATTATTGTCAAAAAAGTGAAGGCAGTTTCAGGAAGATTTTTTGTAATAAAATTTGATAATCCATCTGGTCCACAAGACTTCTTATTGTTGATATTGTTGACAAAATTTCTAACTTCCCCAGCCTTTATGAAGTGAAAGCTATCAGTGTTATTGAGAGATTGAAAGGAGCTATCAAATGAGTAAATGTGCTCAGGGACTGCACCGGTGACAGAGGATATTCTCGCATCAAGGTCAGCTACAGGTTGTTGTGGAGACGAATGTTGAAAAGTAGATGAGAAATGGTTCTGGAATAACTCAACAATTTCATTGGTATTTGTAATTATGTTATTGTTATGTATTATTCTTTGATAAAATGGAGATTTTCTTTTGCCAGAAATGCGATATATTTCTTTAAATGCCGATGGACCAGGTTTTATGTTTTCCAACCTGCTACTGAAATGTTTGGCTTGTTCTATGTTCACGGACTCTTTTATTATTACCTTAAGTAATTGTATTTGCTTAGATAAAATGGCATACTCACGGCTAAGTCTATTTCCGCATCTGTGGAAAATTTTTTTAAGTTCCTTCTGCCATTGGTGCTTCATTTTATACAGGTTTCTCGTTCGTCCAGACAGTGGAAATTTAGAGTCTAATATTTCAATAGAGGTCGAATGATTAGTGTGAAGTGTGGATATGGTGTTATTAAATTCACTTATTAGATTATCAATCTTTTGGTTGGATAAGTTTCTTCTGGTAGAAGGCATCAATCTCTCCATTTCTTGGTTTGTATCACATTGAAAACTGTTCCAATTTGTGTCTCTGTATGTGGTATACATCCTGAATGATGAATTCAACTCTTCTATGATCCATAGTTAGTTTGATTGGAAAATGATCTGAGAAGGTAGATAAAGATGAAATTCTACAGTTATCCAGATTACTATGTACTAGGTTGGCACTGACAATAAAATGGTCCTTTATGTTCCTAATTGCTGAGTTTTTGACTTAGTGATCTTTTTTTTGATGTTGTTGTCTAGCGGTGGCATACTTTTTGTACATTGGACAGCCCTTACAATTAGCCGGATGTCCAAACTCCTCGCAGTTAGTGCAATATGGACTGGATGAATCCGACGAATTCCTCTTGCACTCTCCAGGACCATGTTCCTGGTCACATTTAACGCATTTATATGCGGAATTACAGTTCCGAGAGATGTGGCCCCACCTCTGGCATCTGTGGCATTGAATGTCATTGTCCTTTTTCTTCGGTTTTTCCCACCAAATTGTTGTGTACTCAAATTCGTTTATATGGGAGATATCACCTAACGTTCTTCCTAGCAAAAGAGATACTAGATAAAGCCCAGTGTCCAATTGTTTCTTGATGGACATTTTTGTTTTGAACCTTGTCACATTTGCAACAGTGTTTGGCGCGATTCGGTCCAATTCTGATTTTACATAATCATCATCGTAGTTCGCATAGAGTCCCCGCAGTACAAGCGAAACCTGCTTGAGTTCTTTTGGTGTAAAAGAATATGAATGTATATTCTTATCCCTGAGAATTGACATTATTGAAAAATGAACAGTGGGGTCTGAAAAATACATTTTACTTTTATTTTTATTAATGTTTTTAATTTTAAATGTGCCCAGAGGTATTGTATCTTTTAACTTATCAATCAGTGTTTTGATATTAACGTTAAAAACAAAAATTGGTGGGCACCATTTTGTTTTCACAGGCTTCTTCGCTCCATCCTCAGCAGGAATTTTAGTTTTTTTTTTACAGGATGCCATATTTGTTTTGGTCTCTTGGAAAATGGATTGACAATCTTTTAGATAAATCTGATATATCAACGTTAATTGGCAAGTTGCATTTATCAATTCGCTGCCTCTTTCTGTCGTTGGTATTCTTGTTTGCCGCAACCTTGTTATTAATTGTAAACCCAGCACCATTGGATGTTGACTTCCTCTTCAACGACATCACAATCCATGTCTGGTAGAACAGTGCCAGGCATCTTTATGCAACAAATACTGCAATGTGATGCCTGCAAGTTATTTTTATTCAATAAATTTATTTTATTTTTTTTTTTGTTGACAATAATTATTGTGCTTAGAAAAAATATGCAGTTCAGCTTTGTCACTCTCGTAACCTCAAAAATCGGCCTTGATCATATTCGCGCCATTATCTGTCGTCGTTGATAATATCTGACTTATATTTAAACCGTATTCTTCTAAAATCGTCAGTAACCTTGTTTTTATGTAGCTACTTGTGTGTCGCTCCTTCATTTCTTTTATTCCAAGAGTTTTTATGGTTATGGAACTATTGCTAATGTATTGGACGTTCACCCCCAAAACACATACATTTAGCCTAGTTGCAGAGTCAATCTTCAAAGACAACATTTTCCCTGTAGTTCTTTCCTGATTTCTTGCTTTAAATTTGAAGAAAACTCTATAATTTTGTCCATAACGTTGTGTTCATTTAATTTTATATTCATTGCAGTAAATATGGGGTTCGTTAAAATCTCAAATGGCCGGTCTTCTGTCAAATGGCCGGTCTTCTTCTGCCATTTTTAGTAAACAACTCCACTATAGCATTTTCCACACTTTTCTTATCAATTATGCATGAAATTTTCAATGCACTTGTGCTAACTTTATTGACTGACTGCTTACTTTTCATTTGAATGTAGTTTTGATAAAGATTAGGGTGTGCAGTTTTTAAGTGTCCTTCCAAATTTCCGGCATGTCCGCATAATGTTTTATGGCAGTCTCCGTTTTTGCACATAAATCGTTTATTTTGATCGTCGAAATCAAAGATTTCTCGTAATATTTCATTTTTTGGACGAAGTCACTGTTAAATTTTCAACTGCTAATTGTCATGGTAGATAAATTCAGGTAGATTCATTAGTGTAAACTAATGTGAACAATTTAATGTGAACGTTGAAAATTCAAAAATTGTATAATAATACTTCAAAAATAAGTAGATTTTTAAATAATCTTTTGTACAATGTGATTGGTGTCGTTTTAATTATAATTCAAAAACTTGAACATTAATATATATTTTTGACAATTCATTGTATCACCACCTTGCAGCCATAGTACATTAAAGTAAACGTACTGTTTGTGTATTTCTGGCAGTGAAAGGTTTGTGGTTTTGTTTTGTATAAAGTACAAAACGATTGAAAAAATTTTAAAAGTTTGTGACTTCGTGTGAGTGGTGCGTTAATCGGTTCGTTTGTTTTCGTTCGCTGGTTACATTTATGTTTCCTAAAATTGCAAAATGTAGAATTCTCTATGTATATATGCGGTTTGGTTTCAATTTGAAAACGATGTCGCTTTTTCCACGATTTTCTAGAAAATGCTTTAAGTATTGAAGGATTTGGACCTACAGCTAACAACTTTACAATCAGGGGAATGATATGAAAGTATTAAAATTAAATATTTTAAGAGCTATTCTTTCCAAATTCCAAAAATGAACATTTTTGAAACTAAAATAATTTATTGAAAATAGTTTTGTTTACATTTTTGGGTATATAACTCTGATACTTGTATTACGTACAAAAACAAATTTGTATGTGGTTGTTGTTACGTTTGTTATCCTACAACACTTGCTGTTACCTATCTACCATGGCAGAAGAATATAGGTCATAGATGCACAAAATACAACATGCGCTCTTGTGGTCAAAGAGACTAAAGCGCACGTAAAAAATATTCTCTTCTTGTTTTTGGACGTTTTGTAACAAGAAATGTGTTTCATTTTACCAAAAGTATTAAAAAACATTAAATATAATCTCAATATATTAATATTTTTCTTATAAAAACTATCTATGAGTTGTTTTCTTAATGTTAACTGAACAACAATGCGTGCATCCCCCACGCATCTCTGCATTCGTTGAGGTCTCATCAACGACTGAGATCACCGCAAACGTACGCTTTGTGCATCTATGATATAGGAAGACGCATCGACACAGCTGCTGGGACAATGAACTGTCAAACCAATTCTGGAATTGAAAATGCTGAATGAAAAATTATTTAAATTTGTAAAAATTGTTTAAAAACGCGAATTATAATAACCTCCGAATGACGTCATATAAAAATCTACTTACATTTGAAAAAACATTTAATTTTTATTGACATATCAATTCTCCCGAGCGTTGATGCATTTACCCATGGTACAATGAAGAGAAGGTAGGTCAACTTTGAAAAAATTGCAAGTATAGAGGTCTACCTGTTTGGCTTGTAATGTCAGAAATAGTATCAAAACAATAACAAAATCAAACAACTTGTTGCATTTATTTTGAATAAATAATTGAAAACCGCGAAAACTGAATGAGAGGTCAACACTTCCTTTCAAAACCAGGTTCTATATATCTCTAAAGGATTATTTCGCTACAAAAACTCTAGATTTTGTCGATGCATACGATGAAATAAACATTTTGAAAACATCCGAATTTGAATGTTTTCTGAACAATTTTTTTGTTATTGAAAAGAAAACACATACATAAACAAATAAAGATGACATATTAAGCCAAGAAAATAAAAAAATTGAAATCATATGGTATCATAGCCCTACCTTGATATCATTGTACCATGCATTTACCTGTATTCTTCTGCCATGCTATCTACCATGGGTGGACCCTTATATTTCATTTTCAGTACATGAATCAAGTTTTCTTAATTTGGATCGAAACCTCTCCATGTAAAAAAACAGTTTTAGGACAAAAAGATTATAATATATTACAATACATGATTTTTTGGTATTTCTTGTGGAGCGGGTGAAATGAAACGTACAAAGGTATGTATCATGGTATAATTATTACAGCAGCAAACCAAAGCTGATTTGACTATAGTAATCATGGCATAATTACAGAAGGTAGAACAAAGCTACCCCCCCAAATACAATTTTTTTTCTTTTGGTGCCCTTATTATGTCAAACATATACACATTTTGTGTATGTGTGTGTGTATTGTTTTGAATAAAAAATACATACCGCATTTACTTGTTTATGTTGTATTTATGTTTTTAGGCTTAACTCTTGTTTAGTAAAAACTCTTCAATTTTTCGAAATTTTTTCCAGTGGTAGGTATTTTTACCCTGATCCCGGGAAACTATTTTTTTCTTGGGGGACGGACGGGGACCCGAAAGACCGGGTTCAAAAACCCGACTAGACCCGGATCCAATTGCCCGATATATCGTTGGAAAGCTTATGAAGTTGGAAAGCTTAAAAATACCTATCCAACAAGTGGTCACATGATGGGGTAAGATGTTACGGTTCGGAGGTTATAGTCAAATTATCGATTTTTTGGACCCGGATTTTTTATAAAACCCCAAAAAGTCATAAAAAGCCAAATTATAGCTGACACTATTGCCTTTCCAAAATGCTACATTTTGTGCTAATACCTTTACTGAGTCCAGAGATATGGGTCTTTCCATCCGCATAACCCGATTCTAACCAGATCATTAAAACTATGTTTTCAATAAAAAAAGGTATTTTTCGCGTAAGCATCAAATTCAGAAATCTTTGGTTTGCGTTAGCCGGTGTTGGACATACTCAGAGGAGAAAGCCCCAAGCCCCGGCCGAAGGCCGGCTATTTACAAAATGTGTCAAATTTAGAAAAGTTTGGTTCGCGTTAGCCGGTGTAGGACATACCCAGAGGACAAAATCTCAAGCTCCGGCCGAAGGCCGGCTACTTACAAAAGGTATCCAATTTAGAAAACTTTGGTTCGCGTTAGCTGGTGTGGGACATACCCAGAGGAGAAAATCTTAAGCCCCTGCCGAAGGCCGGCTATTTACAAAAAGTGCCGAATTTAGAAAACTTTTGTTATTCTGACGACTACTACGCGAAATAAACCGTTTTTTATTGAAAACATCATTTTAATGAACTGTGTTAGAATCGGGTTATGTGGATGGTAAGACCCATTTCTCTGGACCCGAAGAAAGATATTAGCACAAATTGTAGCATTTTGGAAAGGTAAGAGTGTCACCTATAATTTGGAAACAATTTTGTTGACCCCCATAATGGGCCCTTTTTTTGAGTTTTTGGGGGTTTCATAAAAAATCCGTGTCCAGAAAATCGATAATTTGACTATAACTTCCGAACCATGACAACTACATGTGACCACTTCCATAAGCATTCAATCGATACCCATATTGTCTATATCGGGTAAGTGGATCCGGATCCAGACGGGGTCTTGATCCCGGACTTTTGGGGTCAAAAATCTGGGGTCCCGGGTCCGTCCCCCAAGAAAAAAATAGTTTCCCGGAATCAGGGCAAAAATACCTACCTCTGGAAAAAACATTCGAAAAAATCGAAGAGTTTTTACTAAACTAGAGTTGTTCCTGTTTTTATTTTAAATTCCTACCGAACTATTATTGAATGGTAATAATAAAATCAGAAAAAAATTGTTTTTTACGAAATTTATTCCATTCTTACAATAAATTGCAAAATTAAGCTTAACACGCATTTACTTGTTTATGTTGTATTCATGTTTTTATTTTAGATTCCTACCGAACTTTAATTTTGGATGGTAATATGTCCTTAAATCTATTTGAACTATTTCTCATTTGAATTTAGTGTCGTGTTTTTCGCCAATTATTATTGGCAAACGGTCGCCCCATCTACTGGATCTTGCACATCGGTAAATATTCCTAGAAAATATTTATTATTTAAACTTTTTATCTTACATAAATTCATTACGAATGGCAACCCAAATTTCCGTTGTTGCTGAGAGATAAATTCTTTTCTAATTTCTTAAATGTGGTATTTGCACTGACAGAAGACAGTGCGACTTTTCTTGAGTTGCAATCCATAATCAATCCATTAAATATTTCAAAAAATTACCTTCCATGTTTTGCCTGTGTAAAAATAATTTCAGTTAATTCTCCATCCGATGTACACATTCGGCATATTGAATGCTTTGAGCGAACCAATGTCGGCCTTACGATTCGCGGCCAAGATCTCGAAATATCACTTGTTACACCCTTTTTAAGAACAACATAACTATATCTTGCAGTGGGGTCTTTGGGTACGTTACCACCTAATTTTATCGGGGTGTAATTTACTTGAAAGTTACATGGCGTTTTATCTGAAGCATTAGATAAACGCGGACATGTCATATCATGAGGACACTGAAAATACAGTTAAAGAGTTAAAAAGCAAATTTGAAAATAACTACGATAAACTCATAAGTTATAACTTACCGGAGCAAATACGTATCCAACTAGGCTATGCTCTTCTTGAGAGAGTATTAAATCTCTTGCTTCGTTTACTAATTGACTCCCACGCCTAGACCCTTCTTCAACGATAACTAAGTAACCATCACATTTTTTCCACAAATTTAATATAACGTCTCTACGAATCTGCGAGTTCGCCAATTCGAATAGAGAATATGATGAAACTATCAAATCATATTTTGTCTGAAAATGTTAGAATATTATTTTTCTACCAAATTAAAACACATTAAAATATAGTTGAATACCTCAAGTGATGGTAAAAATTGACGGTAGAATACATTTTTTAAAGTAATTTGCTGATTTTCGTTGCCGCCCCTCAAAATTAGTTCTGATAATTCGTTCATATCGCGAGAGCTGTCAACATTATAATACTCGTAAATTGAATCCTTCCATAAGTTACTAACTGCCCACATTCCCGAACCAACCCCAGATCCAAAATCAAGATAACTCTGAGGTTTAAAATCTTTATCACGTTCCGCAACTTCTTGCAATATTTTAGTTAACACCGCAAATTCTAAGGGCCCCCTACCCAAAGCATAAACTATAGCTTCATAGCGACCATATTTGACAGGTTTCCACGAAAATGTGCGTTCTTTCATTCTTCTTTTCAAAAGTTGTTCTTTGCGATTTTGCCACTTTCTTTTCTCATCTTCATTCATGGTAAGACAATCGCTAGGTGGCATCAGAACATCAAGCTCTTCCATAATATTTTTCACTCTGTCTTTAACTTCATCTATCTCTGCCGGCGGATGTCTGGATGCCAAAAAGTGATTTAATTTCTTACAATCATCACTTATGGTTTTTAAAGGATAATCGCCAATAACTTTTTCTAATGAACTATGCAAACGAGCCGGCAATTCAACTCGTTTACATGTAAGAATTCCAGGGTGCCTCCTCGGGTGAATCAACTCAGATTCGATTTGGTTCCGAACATTTTCATCAATTTCTACAGCTATTTTACTCGTGGTCCTCCGTATTTCTCGGCTGACAGTTAGTTTAAAATTATTTACAAGTACTTTAAAACCAATATTCATTATAGTTTAGTTGCAACGAATTATGAAATATAAACTATGTAATCCAAATACAATAACAAAACAGCACGTTATTTATTAAATTAACAGGGTGACCAAGAACTTTTTGTATCAATAAAACACCTCACCTTGCAAGACCAGCTGATTATGAACTGCCGAGATAAAAGCCATGTTCCAGGACGTCTTTTTATCATGTTTATTTATTCACAACATGTAACTTATTTGTTTATACCTGAAGAATATTGAAGGTGGTTTAAATTTTTTCCATCTTTCAAATCAAAATCTCTGCCCCATTTGTACATTTAATTATTGTACAACGCTTGCTTAAAGATTATGAACAACTGATATTGAAAAACCCTTATGCAAGCCACACACGATACTATCGTTGTTACAACTTAGAGGGTAGCAAAGTTGTATGTTTCGGCCAAAAACGATACAACTTTGTGAACAACCTCTTCGTACAATTTCACTTTTCGTAGATTACAATCGAGTTAAGATGACACCGGAAAAAATCATGTTCTATAATTGAATCAATAGAATTTATTTCTTATTAATTATTGAAATTCCATTTTTTATGTAAATTAGAATCACACATTTGATTGGATTTCGTGTTGTTTTGATGTGCGAAACAATCATGTTGCCCCTTCGAAAAAAACACAATATGAAACTGTATGCGACATGCCAACAAACGTTGCAATCGATTGGCACAACATGCAAAAATATCAAAAAATTTTGATTTTTTTTACAACCAAGACAAAACTTTGTACAACCGGCCCACAAATATATATAATATTTTTTAGGGCTTCATACGTTTATTTGGAATTGCATGCTTTTTATACCCTCCACCGTGTAGGTCCATGTTTTGGTAGAGTCCCCATACTATGGTACCACCCGATATTCGGTATTTTGATGATTTTAGCGACATTATTCACAGGAAATGTTTTAAATTTGGTATTTGCAGTTCGTAATGAATACTACAGCCTACGACAGAAAATTGTCTGTGCAGGTCCACGTCTTCGTATAGCCCTAATATAACGGTAACTCTCGATATTCAATATTTTGATAATTTTAGCGACATTATTCACGGGAATTGTTTGAAATTTGGTATTTGAAGATCGTAGCCGATACTACAGCCTAAGAAAGAAAATCGTCTGTGCAGATCCACGTCTTAGTATATCCCCCATAACGGTACCTACCGATATTCGGTACTTTGATGATTTTAGCGACATTATTCACCGGAACTGTTTCAAATTTAATATTTAAAGTTCGTAGTGGGTACTACAGCCTAAGACATAAAATTGTCCGTGCACGTCCACGTCTTCGTGTAGCCCCCATATAGCGGTACCTCCCGATATTCAATATGTTGATGATTTTAACTACAATATTTCCCATTTGAATATTGTAATGGCTTATGACAAAAGTTACCTATATCCATATCATCGTATAGACCCTAATATAACAGCTACATTCGGTATTCTTAAGATTTTGACAGCATTTTTAACGGATTTTATTGTTTTTGAGAATTGCCAAATTCGTACTAAATAGTGGAGGGTATTCAAAGCTTTTTTACTTGTTGATAATACGGGTAAAATTAGCTGTTTTTATCGGATCACCCATAGCCCAACCATAGAGGGATCTTATTTTCTGCTGACTACAAATCTTAATGTCAAAATACACTATTGTGATTAATCACAGAGATCAAAAGATTGACACCACATTTTGCTTTTGAAATATTGCGTCATATGACGTCCTTTTAAATGGGCCTAGTTAAATGCCAGGATATACATACATACATTCGATATGACGTTTTGTGATTCAATACCTTTTCTTGATGTACAATGGGTATACACTTTTTTGAAATAAAATTTCACTGCAGGGTAGTGTGAACATAGTTTTGCTTAATAATAGAAAAATTCTCTGTTATACGGAACAAAACGCCAACGACGATGGTGCGGAACGATTTTGCGGTTAGTCGTATATTCCATGTTTCCTAAACTGCAAAATGTAGGATAATTTATGTATGTATGAGGATTGGTTTCTATTTGAAAGGGATGCGGATTTTTCAACGATTTTCTAGCGACAGCTTGAAGTGTTGAGAGATTTGAACCTACAGCTAAGAACTATACATTCAGAAGTATGATACGAAAGCATTAAAATAAAATATTTGAAGAGCTATTTTTCTGCATGTTGGAAATATAAACTACTTGTTGTTCAAATAATATTGTAACATGTCTTCATGGAAATATTTGTTTGCATATTAGCTTGTGTATATTTAATATTATTCATATATATTCATTCAGTTTTCGTTCATATAATAATAAAGACTATTTGGGTTTTTATAACCGGTTTTTGGACTTTCTGGGACACAACATTTGGCGACGAGGACATAAAGAGAAATTCAAGAAACAATGGATCTAACCGCTCTTTCGCAGATATTGGTTCAACTACAAGAATTTGTGGCACAAATGATGGATCAAAATAAAGCTATTTTAGCGGAGGTTTTCACGAGGAACCATAAACCTTCCGTGATTCCTTCATTCAAGAGCTTCATTCCTGGAACAAATCAATGGTCAACGTATCACTTTCAATTGGACTAACATATGGAAGCAAGTTCAGTTTGTTATGTGTGCATATGCTCGGCATACGATTAGGCCATCCGACTGTCACAGAGACTCCCAGGGCTAGGGATCTCAACCCGCCAATCGAATCCAACACACTAACATTGAAAGGGGACTTTACTACAATTGCTCTACTCTACGATATACAAAATAGGAGTCATCATACAGGGATCTCGGTGGATCGATCCCACACTCGCCCACCCTACCTGGATCCAGTATTTCCATTTCTTGCGTTTCTCTGAATCCCCTTGAGCCACACGCTTCGAATCACACACTTACTTCATACCACCTTCCCCCCAAGCTATACAAACTTAGCAACACATATTAGTATCTACTGTTTACAAAAGAATCATTTTTAATTTTATTAAAAAAAATAAGTTAGCTTTAAATATTTTCTTAATTTTTTTCTCTACTATTTTTTTTTCTTACACTAAAATTGACAAACTGTATGGTATAAAAAAAAACAAATTAAGAATAATACCGGGCTTTCTTAAATCTATGGCTTTAATTACTCGGTAGAAACCAATATATTATCCTTTGCCTTGCTTTTCCCGCGCAATATTCCGCGTCTATACGAAATTACTAGCCACCTAAAAGAGCTCTCTTAACCGGCCTAATTGCCGCTAAAATTCCACGGCCTAAACTATCAGATCGAATCACAAGGACTCAAGATAATTTTACTGTAACACCTCCTAGCCTTTAAAAATAAACGCGGTATTTTTCCCTTACAAACTGATTATTACTTAAATCCTAAGAACTATAACCTATCTTATTACTAAATCTTTATACTGAATATTATATTTTTTTTCTCGAAATTTATGATTATTAACTCTTTTTTTCTTTTCTTTTAGTTCCAAAAAAGGAGACAGCAAATTTTATGGACGTCACATATATATATAAATATATCTATCAAGGACAACACAACGGTAAGACACCTTTTACCTGAGCAGTGATTTATAACGTTATTGATTAATTCTTCTTATCTCTCCTTCCAGTTTACGCTTCTTTCCGGAGGAAACAGATTTTGAACGCCAGGCAAACCCTCAAATGAAGCTGGACTTGTTGACTGGTCCTTTTACAATGCCGGCGTTCTGGGCGGGATCAATAACCGGCACAGCAAAAAGCTCAAAGTTGCAGCTGGCCAGTTTACAATTCAAATCTCCACACCCTCAATGTAACTTTTTTGGCTTTTTTTTCCTGTGGACAACTTGCCACTACCTTGCGTTACCAAAAAGAAAAGGCAATTTCCCGCCGTTGTGCTGACCAAAACCGGACAATTTTCGGTGCTTCCAAAAAAGGCTTGATACACCACCGGAATATTCCTGTTGGAGCAACACACATCACATATAACAACACAATACTCAACAAACCACTGTTACAAACTACTTACACAATAAAAAAAAATCGCAACACACAAATTAAATTTTTCCACTTCTTCACTGCTCTCTAGCTAAGTTTCACCGGTAACGTCTTATTCTTAACTTTGGCTTTTCTTATGCTCGCAGCCTTTTATACCCCTCTTCTCAGTGAATCCCGCCAGACGCTCATTTTCCACGAAACACCATTTTCCTGAACCATTTTCAATTTTCATTCCTTTTTCTTTTCAACTGTCAATAGCCATTTTTTTTTTTTATTGTGAATTCTCATTTCACCTCACCCCTGAGTCTCTCATTTAAAAATCAACGGCTGTCTAACTATTCGCCCAACCCTTTTCACTTACGTTACCAACTCGCCAATTACCCCAAACAACGCCAATTTCCTTTAACCTTATACGGCAGCGAGACATCAGCAAAAACATTTTAATTATTTCTCTCGAAATCTTTTGTTTTTCTATTCTTCTGATATTTCTTAAATTTTTATTTCAACGTGCCGCTTTTTTTTTTCATAATCATTCATTCAAATTGTGTCTAAACAAAATTTTTATCATATTTATAGTAGGTTCCCACCTACTCAGCAATCATAGGGCTGCCTAGTCACTTCTTAGCCTGAGTCACCCTGTCATTTACTACCTTTATAATACTCTTTTACTCAACCCTGTTCGAGCCTAATTTCGTACGTAGCGAACCCTAACAAACCATTTCCGGCATTTTGATCCCATCGCCACCCGGACTACACACCCCGCAGAAATTACAAGCAAATTGAAATCTCGAAGCATCCTCACCATCCTCACTAAAAACCCAGGAAAACTGAGCAAATCCATTTGAGGACCAATTATGGGATGCACTACCAACAGAATTGGGATAATTTCTGCGGTGGTTGTGGACAGGTTTTGCCAAAAAACACGGCCCCATATATTTGTTGCCTTTTTGCGCCGCATGTGAACGGCCTGCAACAAAACTTCAACTTCGGCCAGAAAATCGAGGACGGAGGTGATGTGCACGGCCGCATTACTCATTTACGTGGGGACATCCCACTCCCTGAAGGTCTCATGCCGGGCATAAGCTCCGAACAGCAGGCTGGTCAAAGCCCTCCCCCTCATGCTGGTAAATATCCCCCATCGAAATAGAACCACATAAATTAATTTATTTTTCTAATCTGTCCATCAGATCTGTGAAACATGTCTTGCTGGTTCGCCTGATAATTCTCGATCCGACACCCTGAAAATATCGTGTCACTACCAAACATCGATCGAGTTCCGAGTCCGGGAAACTCGCTGGTAATTCCCCTATAACAGGTCAACATTTGGGAAGATCAAAAACGCTCATAAATTTTACAATACGCATTCGGTTATTTATAAAATCCCGCATTCAGTATTTCTACTAAGACAAGCTCAGAGGAACGGATGGGATTTATCGACCCACTCCTTTGGGACCTTCACTACAAAAAGGTAAACATCCGGAACAACCCAATAATTCTATCAACCCAAGACCTTGTGTGGAGTTGGAATATATTTGTCCTCTCCGGCGGATCTACACTGGTAATACCCACCAGCTCTCAATGAAAAATTCTCCGATTCCATCAAAATTTCACACATTCTTCTTGGTTATGGATATAATCTTCAAAGTTGGAATCTATACGTACTTTGATACACAAATAATTTGATCAAATTATTGAAATCATGGTACAATAAAAAGGTAAGGTAGAGCTAAAAGCTGATTACAATTTTTTTTTCCAAGTGTGCCCGACTTCTGTCATTATTGTGTATTATTTGTTTTGAAAATAAAAAAAAATATTTTCAAGGTCAATGTTTGGAAAAACGAACACTGCGTGGCCGGCGTTCAAAATATTACCCTGTTTTGTCCTGGAATTGAAGGATTAAACAGTTTTGATCACATTTTTTGAAAAAAAATCCGTGCGTTCAATAACGCATTCAAAAAATAACAATTATCAAAACATTTTGTCGCATACAATTTTGAAGTATTTTGACAGAAAGCGGGCATAGCCCTAGCAATGTATTGCGGTACTTTTTTGTTTGTTTTGAACATTTAATAACTTTCATTCCTTAATAGGTGGTGAAACATTTTGCATGCGGAAATATTTGTGCCTATGCCTGTCTTGTCGTCGTGGTTGCCGAAGAACGGATTTTGTATGCGGTATATGCTGATGTGATTGATAGGTAAACAAATACCATAATCGTGGTGTCTACGTGATTGTCTGGTAGAATGTAGTTTTATGTATGTTCGCTTTTTATGTATGGGAATCTTTCATTAATTTATGCCGGAATAAACCAGATTGTGCTATTTTTATCGCCACCGGGGGTGTTTAAGTACATTTTTTTTAAATTTATATGTCGCGTAGAATATTTTGTAAAAGAAATTAGACAGCTGTGATAAACGCGAAACTAGAGTCTGATTAACTTGAATTACCCAATTAGGGGAACAGATCAGCTGATATTTTTGAACCTTAATACGAATGAATTCAGTACGAAGGTGATTTTACTATCGTATTTAGTTTCCTCAGACACATTTTCTATGTTTTGTTTTGATTCATTCGATTTTGAATTAAACCATAACCATGATAAATGTGATATAGAATTGGTAACAAATGTGAAATAGTTTTTGAGAGTTATTTTAGAATTCTTTTTATAACAATTGAATTGGGAAAGGGGATTGAAAAGACTTTCTTTTCCACTTATCTTTTAAGATCTTTTGCATGACAGATTCCAATCGCCTTTCCATTTAGATCTTCGAGAGAATACATATTATTTCCTATGGGCTTTACTATACGACACTTCGTAAATTTCCGGGCAAACTTAGCATTAAAATTTTTCCCAAAATCGCTAAGAACATAGTTTCTTTTATATACCTCTTGCCCCGGAGAGAAAATAATCGTACGAGCCCTTGCGTTATACCTTTTTGCGCTTTGTTGATAAGCCTGATGCATATTCTGTCTAATTTTATTTCGGATTAGTTCCATCTTGTCGTTACGATCTAAATGTATAATTTCATGGTCCGCCAATGAGTGGAGCTTCCGAGCTAATTTATAATCTGAACCATGGGTATACATACTATGACCAAACAGCGCGAAAAATGGCGTTACACCAGTTGCAGTATGAATCGATGTTCTTAAGGCGCACTCTATGTCTGTTAGATACAGGTCCCAATCTCTGTGGTCATTTTCTAGATATGCCCTAATCGCCGCCAATACTGATTGATTGACTCTCTCAGATGCATTAGACTGCGGAGCATATGGAGCTGTTTGGATATGATTGATTCCATATGTTTCAATCATGTCTTTGAAAGTTTTAGATACGAACTGTGCCCCATTGTCGGAATGTATCGTCTCGGGTACGCCAAACTTACGAAATATATCCTCAACCATAAATTTTACCACATTGGAAGCTGTTGCCTCTTTCATTGCCTTAAGAAATGTAAATTTGCTAAAGTGGTCCACCACTATAAATATAAAGGCGTTGCCACTTTTAGACCGGGGGTATTTCCCGAGGAAGTCAACGTAGAGTTTCTGGAAGGGAAGATTTGTCACGACTTCATTTCCGATCTGAGGCTGAGTATTTTCATTGGTAGGCTTTGTCTCTTTGCAAACAGTGCATTTAGACACATATTGCCTAACCTGGGATACCATTAGAGGCCAGTAATATTTTTCTCTTAAACGAAAAATGGTTTTTGATATGCCTCCGTGAGCTGACGTCGTTCTATCATGGGCTTGCTCTATTAAAGAATGGGTCAAAGACTCTGGGACCCACAATTTCCACTGAAACTCTTGTGTTTCTGGGTTATAGGACTTGTGATCTCTTTTAAATACCATATTGTCGACAATCTTTAGATCGGGGAGATTCTCCTTTTTATTTGCAATAATTTCTCTAAGCTGTTTGTACGAATCACTTTCAAACTCGGTGGTCTCGAATTCAAAAACCCGATTCATGTCTATTTCGTCGGCATTGGGTAGGCGGGATAGCATATCGGCGACAACATTTTCCTTTCCTTTTCGGTGCTCGATTTTGAAGTTAAATCCCTGAAGTTGCAATGACCAGCGAGCTAAACGACCACTGAGGTCCTTTAGACTCATCAGCCATTGTAAACTAGCGTGATCTGTTATCACGGTGAATTCCATTAGCTCCACGTAAGGACGGAAAGTTTTGATAGCCATCACCGCCGCCAAGCATTCCTTCTCTGTCACGCTATAATTTCTCTGACACTTATTGAGCTTTTTCGAATAGAAAGCGATCGGATGCTCATGTCCTTCGGCATTCAGCTGAAATAGAACAGCGCCGATGCCATATTCCGAAGCATCACATTGAATAAAAAAGGGTTTGGAAAAATCTGCGTGGCGTAACACCGGTGCGGAAGTTAAGGCCCTCTTTAAGTTTTCAAATGCCTCCTTTGCCTTGTCCGTAATTACGAATTTGGGCGATTTCTTCAGGGTATCAGTAAGGGGAGCTGAAAGTGACGCGAAGTCTTTAATAAATCTTCGGTACCATCCTGCTGTACCCAGAAAACTTCTCACTTCCCTAGCACTTTTGGGAATTCTAATTTTTCGAATTGCTTCTACTTTTTCGGGGTCAGTACGCAACATGCCTTCTCCAATAATAAATCCCAAATATCTCAACTGACGAAAACAAAATTTTGACTTGGTTAACCCGATTGTTAAATTCGCTCGGTCAAGGCAATCGGCTACTTCATTCAATAGACGAAGATGCTCGTCGAAATCACTTGAAATAATCAACAGGTCGTCCAGGTACACAAAGACATTCTCCTTGAGTCGTTGGGGAATGACTTTGTCCATCAGTCGACATAACCTTTGTGCAGCATTACACAATCCAAACGGCATCACACGGAATTGATACAATGGACGGCCTGGGACCGTAAAAGCGGTGTACGGCTTGCTTTCTTCGTCTAATTCGATTTGCCAGAACGCATATTTAAGATCCACGCTGCTAATGTAATGAGTTTCATCAATGCGACTTAGTATTCCTTCAATGTTTTGCAGGGGGTATGCGTCCTTGACCGTGAGCTTATTTAACTTTCGAGCATCCAGACAGAAACGATTTTTTCCGGGCTTTCGTACGATAGTTGTACGATTGCTCCAAGGGCTTTCACTTTCCTCAATAACATTAAGTGCTAACATATTATCGACTTCTTGGTACGTGATAGCTTGAACCGCTGGAGACATTGGATAGTGGCGGTCTTTAACCGGTTCCGCACCTTCCACGAGCTTAATCGAATGCTTTTCTAAACTAGTACAACCTAGCCCATTTTGTTCAAAGGTCTTGAATTTTTTTACTATGCATTTTAATCGATTCTCTTGATCATTTGTTAACTCGTGAGGGTTGAGTTTGTAGTCGGGACCCGTATCAGTCATATCCCTGAAAACTTTTTCTATATTAATTTCAGCAGTTCCTATCACATCAGGGGCTAATTCGAATGTTCGCCAGAAGTCTATTCCAAGATATAGTTCTTGTTCCAATTGAGGACATAGATACAGTGTCATAAATTTTTCCTGCTCTTGGTATTTTATGATGGCTTTAATTTTCCCTAAAACATTATACTGTGTACCTCCGGCGGTGGTTACCCTGCTGGACATTGGTATAATTGGAATGCCAAGTTCTTCTATTATCTCTCGGCAATTTTTCCCTAACATAGTAACCGAAGCGCCGGTGTCTAGGAGCCCATTCATGATTTTTCCTTGCATACTGATTTCCGAGAAAACTCTGGGATCTGAGGCAATACCAGTCACTCTCGAAATAGTTTCTATCAAATATCTTCGCTGCTCACGCCACTTCTTGGATTTTTGTCTCAATTCAATAATTTTTTTCGGGATTACAGTAAACTCTGAGTTAAAAATTCTCTCCTTGACCTTAGCATAATTTCTTTGGCGATTTTCTAATGGAATGTAATGCCTCTGACCTGCAGAAAAAATTTTCGATTCTACACTACTCTTATCTCTAAATATATTATCGTTGTTTTTTATTAAAATTCGGACGTTTTTGGGTGCTAATTCTTCCGATTCACAGGGTTCTCTGACGGGTGTGTTTCCCCTGTCACTTCCACACCCCTTCGGGAGTTTCCCTGTTGACAGACAGGACACTTTGGGGTTACTGTGTCCGGCTTCCCACACCTATAGCAGAACAATTTCCGGACTTCTACTGGACAGTCCATAAAAACATGCCCCTTTTCTCGACAGTTCCAGCAGATAATTGGAACTCTAATGTGGCTTTGTATCCGGATAGCTGACAGCTCTTCACCAATATTCTCCTCCGGTACTTCTACATGCTTTTCATAAATTTCATCATATATTTCATTTACTTGGCGGATAGGTCGCTGGGGGAACGTTACAGCTCTATTTTCGCGCCTAGGGAAATTTCTCTCAGCTTCAATACATTCTATTCGTAGCTGTTCAACCGACGAAATGGTCATCTGATATACATGTCGTTTTATATCTTCACGTATATTTCCCCTTAGGATCTTAATCATTTCGTACTCGTAAATAGGTTGAAGTAATCTAGATCGCAAAATTCCCATCTCGTGAAAATAACTATTGATGCTTTCATTTGGCCTTTGTTTCCTTTCTAACAAATCCCTGAGTATGTCGAATTTGGATTGTGGGGTTTGATACTGGCTTATCAGCGCTTCTTTAAGACCCATCCAATCGGTGTAAACATTACTTTGTCTATGCAGCCAATACCATTCTCTGGCTTGACCAGAAACCAGAAAGGCGAAATCCCTCAACACTTCAGACCATGGAATGTTATATTGAGCCTGCATGATCTCTAACCGCTTAATAAAATCCATAACTCTTAAGCCTTTCGGGTCACCACTGAAATTTAAACCAAGTTTATCAACTCGTATTCCTAGTGGTTCCACTCTAAACGTATTCGTTATCGGGCCAGTAAATTGATCTGATAATGGAGTTTGACTAGCACTCGGAAATTGGATAATTGGTGGCATATTCCTATTTACTGCGTCATTATTATTGTTTGACGTCGGATTAGCATTACTATTTGTAATAGAATTAGAGGCTATTGTAGCCGTTGGGGGTACAATTAATTGTTTACGCACAGTGTCGGATAGTTCTCTCATGCCTTTTGATAAAGAATCTATCATTTTCTTCACATCAGATATTTCTGTTTCGACCATTTTTTTAACTTTATCTTCCAATGACTTCTGGACAGACGCTGCTTCATCTTGTACTAGTCCATGTAGGTCGGAAGTAGTTGGACCATTATTATTCAAATTATCACTCACTGTTGGCACATGATTGGTGTTCTGATCTCTTCGCATTATCGTGTCTGCTAGATCGATAAATTGCAAAGCACTCATATTCCTATCCTCATTCGCCATTTCGTCCGACCCTATTCGTCTTTGCTTACTCTGCTCTGGAAAATAAGTCGATCGGTTTAGGTCAAAATTTTCGGGTCTGCCTCTCTTATTTCTTTTACTATTGCGGGTATTGTAGATCATGACCTATACCCAAAATTTATCTTCTCATTTGTTATCAATTGAATCTCGGACGAAACCTTTTCTTGTAAGTAAGTTTTAAATTCAGTTAACCTTTTTTTTTTAAATATGAAACATTTGCAACACAAATACTTTTTATAAATACATTCAATTACAATTACACATACAAATTTTCAAATTTGATAATTACAACATAGATCTACGGGGGAAGTGTAATTTTCAGAAGCAGTGTGTGTGTGGTTTTTTTTTATTTATTTATTTTTTTATTATTATTATTATTTTTTTTTTTTTTTTTTTTTTTTTTTTTTAATAATAATTTTAGTGCCCTTTATGAGGTGTATGACTTTTCCCTTAGACATTCTTATACTTCTCATAAATTATAGTGCTTTGTTAACTTCGGACCCCTGACATATCTATTACATTTCATAAATGAAAGCTCAGGGTTTTTATATGCAATACTAAGATTTTTGCATCTCTCAGATCAAAATCGCTATTGCTGCTACTCGATGTACTTATTCCTGTCTATAATTTATTTGGGTTATTTCACAAAAACAAATTTTAACAGTAGGATTCTCAATACAAATTGTTTTATTCCAGCTCGGAATTACAAGCTATTGATTACACCCTACTTAGAACAGTGGAGAAAACGTTCCCATAATATATTTGATATAGTAATATCGCACTTCGTAACCCATCTCTCTAAAGTTCGGATGCATACTAATATCACAGAATATTATTTGTCAAAAACATTTTCTTTTGTCTATTTAAAATCTACTAGCATTCTATGGCTGTGTGCGTCGATGTTACTGCACAGAGTTACTAACCTAATATCACAGTTTAACACGGCCATGTTTGAGTCGCCATTTTTTTACAGTGGTATCAGGTACAATAAAGCTTTTTTTAGAATCTTGGGCGCCATCTCTGTTATGTGTGCATATGCTCGGCATACGATTAGGCCATCCGACTGTCACAGAGACTCCCAGGGCTAGGGATCTCAACCCGCCAATCGAATCCAACACACTAACATTGAAAGGGGACTTTACTACAATTGCTCTACTCTACGATATACAAAATAGGAGTCATCATACAGGGATCTCGGTGGATCGATCCCACACTCGCCCACCCTACCTGGATCCAGTATTTCCATTTCTTGCGTTTCTCTGAATCCCCTTGAGCCACACGCTTCGAATCACACACTTACTTCATACCACCTTCCCCCCAAGCTATACAAACTTAGCAACACATATTAGTATCTACTGTTTACAAAAGAATCATTTTTAATTTTATTAAAAAAAATAAGTTAGCTTTAAATATTTTCTTAATTTTTTTCTCTACTATTTTTTTTTCTTACACTAAAATTGACAAACTGTATGGTATAAAAAAAAACAAATTAAGAATAATACCGGGCTTTCTTAAATCTATGGCTTTAATTACTCGGTAGAAACCAATATATTATCCTTTGCCTTGCTTTTCCCGCGCAATATTCCGCGTCTATACGAAATTACTAGCCACCTAAAAGAGCTCTCTTAACCGGCCTAATTGCCGCTAAAATTCCACGGCCTAAACTATCAGATCGAATCACAAGGACTCAAGATAATTTTACTGTAACACCTCCTAGCCTTTAAAAATAAACGCGGTATTTTTCCCTTACAAACTGATTATTACTTAAATCCTAAGAACTATAACCTATCTTATTACTAAATCTTTATACTGAATATTATATTTTTTTTCTCGAAATTTATGATTATTAACTCTTTTTTTCTTTTCTTTTAGTTCCAAAAAAGGAGACAGCAAATTTTATGGACGTCACATATATATATAAATATATCTATCAAGGACAACACAACGGTAAGACACCTTTTACCTGAGCAGTGATTTATAACGTTATTGATTAATTCTTCTTATCTCTCCTTCCAGTTTACGCTTCTTTCCGGAGGAAACAGATTTTGAACGCCAGGCAAACCCTCAAATGAAGCTGGACTTGTTGACTGGTCCTTTTACAATGCCGGCGTTCTGGGCGGGATCAATAACCGGCACAGCAAAAAGCTCAAAGTTGCAGCTGGCCAGTTTACAATTCAAATCTCCACACCCTCAATGTAACTTTTTTGGCTTTTTTTTCCTGTGGACAACTTGCCACTACCTTGCGTTACCAAAAAGAAAAGGCAATTTCCCGCCGTTGTGCTGACCAAAACCGGACAATTTTCGGTGCTTCCAAAAAAGGCTTGATACACCACCGGAATATTCCTGTTGGAGCAACACACATCACATATAACAACACAATACTCAACAAACCACTGTTACAAACTACTTACACAATAAAAAAAAATCGCAACACACAAATTAAATTTTTCCACTTCTTCACTGCTCTCTAGCTAAGTTTCACCGGTAACGTCTTATTCTTAACTTTGGCTTTTCTTATGCTCGCAGCCTTTTATACCCCTCTTCTCAGTGAATCCCGCCAGACGCTCATTTTCCACGAAACACCATTTTCCTGAACCATTTTCAATTTTCATTCCTTTTTCTTTTCAACTGTCAATAGCCATTTTTTTTTTTTATTGTGAATTCTCATTTCACCTCACCCCTGAGTCTCTCATTTAAAAATCAACGGCTGTCTAACTATTCGCCCAACCCTTTTCACTTACGTTACCAACTCGCCAATTACCCCAAACAACGCCAATTTCCTTTAACCTTATACGGCAGCGAGACATCAGCAAAAACATTTTAATTATTTCTCTCGAAATCTTTTGTTTTTCTATTCTTCTGATATTTCTTAAATTTTTATTTCAACGTGCCGCTTTTTTTTTTTCATAATCATTCATTCAAATTGTGTCTAAACAAAATTTTTATCATATTTATAGTAGGTTCCCACCTACTCAGCAATCATAGGGCTGCCTAGTCACTTCTTAGCCTGAGTCACCCTGTCATTTACTACCTTTATAATACTCTTTTACTCAACCCTGTTCGAGCCTAATTTCGTACGTAGCGAACCCTAACAAACCATTTCCGGCATTTTGATCCCATCGCCACCCGGACTACACACCCCGCAGAAATTACAAGCAAATTGAAATCTCGAAGCATCCTCACCATCCTCACTAAAAACCCAGGAAAACTGAGCAAATCCATTTGAGGACCAATTATGGGATGCACTACCAACAGAATTGGGATAATTTCTGCGGTGGTTGTGGACAGGTTTTGCCAAAAAACACGGCCCCATATATTTGTTGCCTTTTTGCGCCGCATGTGAACGGCCTGCAACAAGTTACGTGTGAAAACGCAAAAAGTTCCTGTTTTCTTAGCTGGGTTGGATCTGATATGGTAGAATTATTGCAAAAGCTTTTTGATGGAAAAGCTCAAGAAAAAACGTACAAGGAATTGGTTTCCGGAATGGACGCACATTTTGAAAGTAAACAGCATATTTTGGCAGCCCGATTTAAGTTTTTTAATCGGATAAGAATGAAGGAGAATCAGAAGTAAGTAGATTGGGTTGCAGATTTAAGGGGAGCTGCTACAGAGTATAACTTCGCGTGTGAGAATGAAGGCTACAAAGAATCTTACGTAGATAATAAGATAAGGAATATGGTTGTTCTATACACGCCGCATGAGAAGATTCGAACAGCATGTTTGCAAAAATCAAACCCGTCCTTGGAAAAAGTTTAGCAAATTTGTTCAGTTTTTGAAGCAACTGTCAAGGCGTCTAGCGAAATCGAAGATGGAAAGGAACCTGCCAATGAAGTTCATGCTGTAAAGCGTTACAGCATTCAAGATAATAAATCAAATAGAAATCTTACTCCAAATAAATTACAGTCTTGTCCTGGTTGTGGAAAGAGTCAACAAAGATAAGAATGCTATCATTTCAAGAACAAAAATATATGCAATAGGTGCTCAAAGTTTGGGCACATATCAAAGGTATGTAAGTCACCAGAAAAATTTGGAAACATTCGTCAAATTCAGGGAATGGCAGTAGAAGAATCATCAATAAGTCACATTGAAACAATCGACACTATCAATAATGGAAAGAGTGGACAGCTTATAATTCATATCAAGGTAAATAATGAGAGATTGTCATTTCAATTAGACACTGGAGCTTCATGTTCATTGATTGGACTTGAGGTCTACAGAAAATTAAACCAACCTTTGTATAGCCCGAGTAATAAAACACTAAAATCGTACGGAGGAGCTATGTCGCCTCTGAAAGGAATGATACACGTTGATGTTAAGGTTGAGAATCAAACACGAAAATTACCACTTTACGTAGTTGATTTGGAAAATGTTACCAGCATATATGGGTACGATTGCCTCAAAGAATTCGGTTTTGAGATGAAATTTCCAAACAATATTATAGTGAAAGAACGCTGCTTGCATGTTTTGAGTGATAGTCTTACAGATTTGAAACGTAAATTAGGTAATATAATGAACCATGTATGGTTTTCTGAAGGATTTGGACACTGTTCAACTTTTAAAGCAAACACAAAGAATTATGGTTATCAATACCCCATTTGGTTTATATCAGTATAAACTAATGCCTTTTGGGATTTCAAGTGCTGTCCAAACAAAGTGCGGATGAAATTTTAGGAGATATTCCGGGATGCGCCATTTACCTCGATGATGTAATTGTAACGGGGCAGACAAACGAAGAACATATCCAAAACATGACTAATGTGCTCGAAAAACTAAAGATCTGTGGACTTAAATGTAAAGCTGAGAAATGTGAAATTACGAAATCTTCGGTAGAATATGTTGGACACATTATTGATTCTGATGGCATAAGACCTTCAAAAAAACGTTTAGATGCCATTCAGCTTATGCCAAGACCTTCAAATATCAAAGAATGGAGGCTTTTATAGGGAAAATAAATTATTATAACAAATTCATTCCAAATTTTTCGAAAACTGCAGCGCCACTAAACGAACTTCGAAAAACAAATGCAAAATTTGTTTGGTCGACAGGAATCGGCTTTCAAAACATTAAAAGAAAATATAATGAATGCAACTAAATTAGCCCATTATGATGATAAATATCCCATTATTCTCGCAACTGACGCTTCAAAAAGCGGAGTTGGTGCAGTTTTGTAACATAGATTCCCTGATGGCACTGAAAAACCAATATCCAATATTTGCTTCAAAGACACTAAATGCATCTCGGTACGGTATCGTTACACACGAAAGAGGACAAAACACTACAAATTATCATGAATTACGTTAAAAATGGTTTGCCGGAAAAGAAAAATTTAGATCATAATTTAAAACCATATTTTGCAAGAAAACTTTCAATTTCTGTAGAAAGTGATGTACTGCTTCTGCATAATGAACATTTACGTGTAATAGTTCCAAAATCACTTCGTTCAAGAGTTCTGAGTATGCTACATGACGGGCATTGGAGTGCATGTAGAATGAAGCAAGTAGCTAGAAGGTATGTATGGTTCCCGAACATCGACCAAGAAATTGAGGATATAGCAAAGAAATGTTGTGTTTGTCAAGAAAATGGTGTTTGCCAAAGACAAGTATTTTCAGCATGGCCCGATGCTGAACAGCCATGGGAGAGAATACACGTCGATTTTGCTATTCCGTTTTTAAACAAGATGTGACTTATTGCGGTTGATTCATATTATAAATTTCCTTTCGTAAGACCAGTATCGGCAGCCAACTCGACATCAACCATAGCAGCATTGCAAAGCTTTTTCGCAATAGAAGGTTTACCACGTACCATTGTAAGTGATAATGGTACACAATTCACGTCAGTAGAATTCAAAAGATTTTGCGAAGCAAAGACCGCTTTCAACAATAACAGTAAAGAGCAGCCAAACCAGGAAAAGGCATTATACAAGTATTTGTTGACGTACAGATCAATGCCTAACCCACATACAGGTAAATCCTCTGCTGAATTACTTCACGGTCGACAGCCCCGAACAATTTTAGCCGCAATGTTTCCGGTAAGATACCAAACATCAAACATTCCGTCAAAATTTGCTATTGGCCAAAAAGTTTATGTACGTAACTTTTCTGGTAAGAAGCGCTGGATAGAAGGAGAAATAAAAGGTAGAATTGGAAATCTTATGTATTTGGTAAATACAGCTCCGGGAAATCCCACGGCATCAAAATCAAATAAAAAGCAGAATGGAAGTCTGCTCTGATAGCAACTTAAAGCAACAATTCGATATTCCACGCAATTCCAGATAGTCAGGCTGGTCAAAATTTAGGAGAAGAAACGGGTCATAGAATCGCACCACCCAACATCTCAAAGACTCCACAAGTGTGGAACCATTTAGTCAAGCTTCAATTCCAACTGCATCTGTGGAAATTCCTCAAAATTCACACAACTCTCCACTAGCTAGACAAGGAACTAACGAACCAGTTGAAAATCAAAATAGTTTCATTTTACGGCGGAGTTTACCCCAAGAAGATCTGAAAGAATTCGCAAAAAAATTAGAGGAGGGAATGTTGGAAATATAAACTACTTGTTGTTCAAATAATATTGTAACATGTCTTCATGGAAATATTTGTTTGCATATTAGCTTCTGTGTATTTAATATTATTCATATATATTCATTCAGTTTTCGTTCATATAACAATAAAGACTATTTGGGGTTTTATAACCGGTTTTTGGACTTTCTCGGACACAACACTGCATTTTAGATTTAATAATCCTGTTTTGAGAATAGAATCCAATCTCCCACTTCGATTGTCAATTCTATTCTCTGGATCGATGATGAGAAAAGAAAGAACAACCTTATTCTTTGGATGTAGTTTCAATTCTGATTTTATTTCAGAAATATGTTTCTTAAGTGCTACAAAAACTAATCTAACTTAACCTAATCGCAGCCACACAATTATTCTTATCTATTCTATTATTGAATGGAGAACATTGCAGGGCTGCTTGTCATTTCATTCTAGTGGTCTTGTGCATCTACTGAGCGCATCGATATCTGTGCGTGTGGGTCATAACCGTTATTATCTGATACATTACCGTATGACGTCAGCGCACAAGATGTTTACATGTGGTATTTTATGGCGGCTGGGAAATATGTACTTTTTGAATATTGATTGTTTATTGCTAGATTTTCCCAGCGCCTCAACCGCACTCAAAAGTATGTACAAAGTATTTTGTACAAAACCAAATTCAAAAAAGGAACATTTTTATTATTGACAATTATTTATTTTCTTTACATTTTTGGACATATAACTCTGACACTTGTATTACATACAAAAACCAATTTATATTTATTTCGACCGGGCCGAACTTTTAGTTCCCTACATTATTTTGAATAAACTTGAAAAATTTCAAAAAAGTTCGTAGAAAAATACCTCTCATATGAAACCCCTTATAGGAGCCTATACGAAGACGAGGCTCTTCATAAGTAATTTCTTGTTCAATTACGAATTTTTAAGACGAAGTTGAAACAGTTCGTGTAAAAAATAAAAAAAAAATACCTAATATTGGGAGGTACAGTAATATGGGGGCAAAAACGAGGACCGACATGGTCCATTTACGAACTTAACATTCCTACTGCCAAATTACACATGTGTGCAAAATGTTACCCGTCAATGTCAATTCGTTCAAAAGATTATAACAGTGATTATCGAGTCATATCGAGTTTGACACTAGTATTACTATAGAGGCAAATCAGCTGGGACTTACTGTTACCTGTAATAATTATGCCATGACATCAACCTTTCATTTTGCAATACTATCGGTTCGAGTGAAAGCAACGTTTCTTACGAAAACGGCCTGTTAATCGTTTTTTATCATGATTTTGACCAAGCTTTACAACATTTACAAACAAAGCCAAAGGCTTTACAAAGAAGATGTGGTGCTAAATATTAATTGAAGGTTGTCCTTTTATAAAAAAAAATATTTTTATATTTTTGGAACAGATGTCTCTGTAAACACAAAGACCACGGGATGTGGTGGTTCCAATGCAAGAAAAGATTACAAATTCCTTTTCAAAATTTAAATCAAGACCTCGTCGATATTTAAAGAACTTTTGTCATAAGAAAGGCTCTGGAAATAGCGACAGAGAATAGATCTGACAGGTGTGTAATCTTTACAGACAGCCTTAGCATTCACAAAAATATCCGAATCAAAAGGAAGACACTTTTTCAGATAAAAATATTATGGGGAAGTCATGGGTTATAAAAATATGTCTTGGTCCTGGTGTCACCAAGCTAATCAACAGGCTGGTTTATGGACACAGTACGACAAAGTTTATCTACACCGAATAGAAATTGCTGAACCCTCTCATTATTTGATTGCGTAACATACGAAGGAAATATCTTCTCATGTTCCCGTCATATCAAAAAATTAAAAAATAAATAATTGCCAACAGTTTAAGAAACGCAACAAGAAACACTTCAAAAACATTTCGAAGATAAAAAACATACATTTATTGAAACATTACCCTTAAGTTTAAATTAAAATGGTATAAAATGAAGTTATGTTTGTTTTTGTGCTGTATAGTAATTTTTATTAAAAAATTATTTAAAAATTAAAAAAAAACTGTAGATACATGTGTAATTTTCCCCAATTTGTAATACGCGGTTTCTTTGGTGGGAACACTGCTTTAAACACAAAGCTGTGATACTTGTAACTAAATTTTGTTTTTCTCTTATTTTATTTTTTGCAAAACTAATAGTTTCTTGCATGATTAAATTACTGAAGTTAGTACATAGCTACCTCCTAAATACAATTTATTTGCTCCCCTATCCTGTCAAAACATATACACATTATGTATATGTGTGTGTATTGTTTTGAATAAAAGAGAAAAAGATGAAAGTATTTCAAACATTCCGTCAAAATTTGCTATTGGCCAAAAAGTTTATGTACATAACTTTTCTGGTAAGAAGCGCTGGATAGAAGGAGAAATAAAAGGTAGAATTGGAAATCTTATGTATTTGGTAAATACAGCTCCGGGAGATCCCACGGCATCAAAATCAAATAAAAAGCAGAATGGAAGTCTGCTCTGATAGCAACTTAAAGCAACAATTCGATATTCCACGCAATTCCAGATAGTCAGGCTGGTCAAAATTTAGGAGAAGAAACGGGTCATAGAATCGCACCACCCAACATCTCAAAGACTCCACAAGTGTGGAACCATTTAGTCAAGCTTCAATTCCAACTGCATCTGTGGAAATTCCTCGAAATTCACACAACTCTCCACTAGCTAGACAAGGAACTAACGAACCAGTTGAAAATCAAAATAGTTTCATTTTACGGCGGAATGAGAAACGAAGACAACAGTTTACCCCAAGAAGATCTGAAAGAATTCGCAAAAAAATTAGAGGAGGGAATGTTGGAAATATAAACTACTTGTTGTTCAAATAATATTGTAACATGTCTTCATGGAAATATTTGTTTGCATATTAGCTTGTGTGTATTTAATATTATTCATATATATTCATTCAGTTTTCGTTCATATAACAATAAAGACTATTTGGGGTTTTATAACCGGTTTTTGGACTTTCTCGGACACAACACTGCATTTTAGATTTAATAATCCTGTTTTGAGAATAGAATCCAATCTCCCACTTCGATTGTCAATTCTATTCTCTGGATCGATGATGAGAAAAGAAAGAACAACCTTATTCTTTGGATGTAGTTTCAATTCTGATTTTATTTCAGAAATATGTTTCTTAAGTGCTACAAAAACTAATCTAACTTAACCTAATCGCAGCCACACAATTATTCTTATCTATTCTATTATTGAATGGAGAACATTGCAGGGCTGCTTGTCATTTCATTCTAGTGGTCTTGTGCATCTACTGAGCGCATCGATATCTGTGCGTGTGGGTCATAACCGTTATTATCTTATACATTATCGTATGACGTCAGCGCACAAGGTGTTTACATGTGGTATTTTATGGCGGCTGGGAAATATGTACTTTTTGAATATTGATTGTTTATTGCTAGATTTTCCCAGCGCCTCAACCGCACTCAAAAGTATGTACAAAGTATTTTGTACAAAACCAAATTCAAAAAAGGAACATTTTTATTATTGACAATTATTTATTTTCTTTACATTTTTGGACATATAACTCTGACACTTGTATTACATACAAAAACCAATTTATATTTATTTCGACCGGGCCGAACTTTTAGTTCCCTACATTATTTTGAATAAACTTGAAAAATTTCAAAAAAGTTCGTAGAAAAATACCTCTCATATGAAACCCCTTATAGGAGCCTATACGAAGACGAGGCTCTTCATAAGTAATTTCTTGTTCAATTACGAATTTTTAAGACGAAGTTGAAACAGTTCGTGTAAAAAATAAAAAAAAATACCTAATATTGGGAGGTACAGTAATATGGGGGCAAAAACGAGGACCGACATGGTCCATTTACGAACTTAACATTCCTACTGGCAAATTACACATGTGTGCAAAATGTTACCCGTTAATGTCAATTCGTTCAAAAGATTATAACAGTGATTATCGAGTCATATCGAGTTTGACACTAGTATTACTATAGAGTCAAATCAGCTGGGACTTACTGTTACCTGTAATAATTATGCCATGACATCAACCTTTCATTTTGCAATACTATCGGTTCGAGTGAAAGCAACGTTTCTTACGAAAACGGCCTGTTAATCGTTTTTTATCATGATTTTGACCAAGCTTTACAACATTTACAAACAAAGCCAAAGGCTTTACAAAGAAGATGTGGTGCTAAATATTAATTGAAGGTTGTCCTTTTATAAAAAAAAATATTTTTATATTTTTGGAACAGATGTCTCTGTAAACACAAAGACCACGGGATGTGGTGGTTCCAATGCAAGAAAAGATTACAAATTCCTTTTCAAAATTTAAATCAAGACCTCGTCGATATTTAAAGAACTTTTGTCATAAGAAAGGCTCTGGAAATAGCGACAGAGAATAGATCTGACAGGTGTGTAATCTTTACAGACAGCCTTAGCATTCACAAAAATATCCGAATCAAAAGGAAGACACTTTTTCAGATAAAAATATTATGGGGAAGTCATGGGTTATAAAAATATGTCTTGGTCCTGGTATCACCAAGCTAATCAACAGGCTGGTTTATGGACACAGTACGACAAAGTTTATCTACACCGAATAGAAATTGCTGAACCCTCTCATTATTTGATTGCGTAACATACGAAGGAAATATCTTCTCATGTTCCCGTCATATCAAAAAATTAAAAAATAAATAATTGCAAACAGTTTAAGAAACGCAACAAGAAACACTTCAAAAACATTTCGAAGATAAAAAACATACATTTATTGAAACTTTACCCTTAAGTTTAAATTAAAATGGTATAAAATGAAGTTATGTTTGTTTTTGTGCTGTATAGTAATTTTTATTAAAAAATTATTTAAAAATTAAAAAAAACTGTAGATACATGTGTAATTTTCCCCAATTTGTAATACGCGGTTTCTTTGGTGGGAACACTGCTTTAAACACAAAGCTGTGATACTTGTAACTAAATTTTGTTTTTCTCTTATTTTATTTTTTGCAAAACTAATAGTTTCTTGCATGATTAAATTACTGAAGTTAGTACATAGCTACCTCCTAAATACAATTTATTTGCTCCCCTATCCTGTCAAAACATATACACATTATGTATATGTGTGTGTATTGTTTTGAATAAAAGAGAAAAAGATGAAAGTATTTCAAATTCAGGTTCAACAGAAATTCATATTCTCGACGTTAATGGGCAACAAATTGCAAAATTCTCGGATAAAACTGCATTGTTCTTTCATCATAGATTCAATTTTGTAGAATGCCCCCAAAATTTCTTTCATGTTTTGTTATTTCCCCAATATAATTTTGTAAGAAAAATATTAAAATAAACAAAACAAATTATGGCATATTTATAAGACCCGGATACAAAGTTGTATTTTCCCAGCTTTTTAAGGTTAAACAACCTTTCTTATTGAGCCATGGATTCTTGCAGGTTCTGGAAAAGAGCACTAATTTAAAACTTTTTAATGGCACTTTTACAGTC